GCACTGCACAGAAGGGAGGAAAGAAGACTGGATGCAAGCTAGACGGCTTGCCGTGTTGCTAGCACTGCAGATCAAGAGGAAAACCTCTGTTGATCGGCCGCTAGCGGCACCCATCCGCTTAGTAGGGCTCAAGCCACTGCCGTCACCGACCGAGTCTTCGATGCCAATCATCATCCTCACCAACACGAAGATCAACACAAACACGAACATACAGAATGCTCTTGCTCCTGCACCACAGTGAGACCTACCACATGCGGGGACAAGCACTGTGCACACAATTGTGCATGCGTCCCGGAAATCCAGAGTGAACCCTTCTTACGCCATGTCATCGCAGATCTTGTCACACATCCTGGACTCCGCTCATGTCTCCACGTGCCCTACCGAACTACTTCACTCCCGACTTCATTTCATCATACCTGCAGGATTTCCGGGTTTCAATGTTTGAACTATTTGTAAACATCCATGGGTTTCGTAGACGTCATCCCGCCTGTCAGTGGGTTAGTGCGGCAGAGCCAGGTGTCTGCTCTCTAGACTCGTCTTTTTCACCGCCTTTATTTAAAGTCTGATAGAAATAACTTGTGACGGCAAGCGAAACTCTACTCAAGACTTTCTACATGCGCTTTTTTTGTTTATTTAAAAAACCCTGATACATGGTAAGTATCATATGGTATTGCACTATAGTTCAAATGCATATGAGATTGAACAACAAAATGTCATCGCTGTTCAGGGAGATCCTGGTTTGGTTCAAGTGACTATTCGATACGCTCACAATGACGATATGACATTGCCTGCTTGTTTCGCTATTCTACTATGATGCAAATTCTTCGTGTATCGGCACTGCAACTCTAACCCTAATGACATACTTGCTCTGTCAAGATTTCGCCCACAGTGCTGATTCCATAATCTTCGAAATCTGACTTCTTACAAACTTATAGTGGTACCTTTTTGGTTGATGTCTTTCTTGTTTCGGTCTAAAAATCTCTCTGTAGTGGAGAAGTTCCCGAGTGTTTCTGCATCGGGTAGACAAAAGTCTATTTCCGTGTACACCGCTTCTATTTTCGGAAGCTTTAGTATTACCAAGGTGCCAGGCAGATAAAGAGTTAAAAATAGGGAGAAGATATGTTCGAGCTTCACACATTCGACTTGGACGTATGCTGAGTGAAGACCACTACTGCATCGCATGCTGTCACGTGGGACCACACCTGCACTATTACACTGCACGTGACAGGTTTACAACTCCGCAGTCACTGTCCAGCATTGAGGTTTGGGGAAACTGAGAAAAAAATTCGTCTATGCCTCTAACACTGCTCTTAAGGATATGTACCTTGGTAAAAACAAGGTTTGTTTTGTATTACCCTTCCGCGGCACAATATATTTTCCATCGTACGCTTTTGTCCTCCATGGGCCCGCAAAAGATAGCGACTAAGAATCATAAATGGGGAAAAATTTCAGCTTATTTCGAACGCTCTTTCACCACAACGCTTCTCTGGTAAAACTCATAGCTCACATCACCGCTACTTTGAACTCAACTTTCCTTGGGTCGTTGCGATCAGCCACCCGACGGTGTGACCTCGGAAAGCGCCAATGAGTCTGCGTAGTAGCTCCTGCAGCTGAACAAAACATGCCAAAGCTAAGTGGACCACTAAAACCCATGAGTGGGTCTCCCCTACTCCGACCAATCCTGCATGTGCGTAGCTGCCGCAGCGCATGACATCTGACACGGCCGCGTATCGCTACCATTTTACAATTGCACCAGCAATAGCACTATGTGTGTTTTGCCAGACTACAAAGCATCTCTCCCAGCCTTTCCAACAGGCTTGATTTCTCAACCCAACAGCATTGCCACCTATGATGTCAGCAAGCATTCTGCTTCGCCACCCCTCGAAAAAAAAAACATGCAACTGCATGCAGGAGATCTATTCCTGCTACAGAACGGCCGGGACGCATGCATGTGCAGCCTCGCTGGCAATGCCATGTGGAGACGCAGCTCACGCGGGCGGGCGGACCTAAACTCGGGTTGGTTAAAGCTAGAGTACTCGGTCTTTCAACTGCGCGAACTTTGGAACACCCCCCTACTAACATTACAATTTTAGCCTTTTAAACAGTAAATAGCAGTTAATCTAAATAGATCTATTAATTTATTAAAGAAGGGTTAAAGAAAATTAGTAGTTGGGTATCTCACTAGGTCTTCAGTTACTGCTTAGTTAGTACCTAGATTAGCACACACTAGCCTACACTATCAACCAATCACAGTGAAGTAGTCACTTCACCCTCGATAGTAACGAAGTCGCATAGTTATGACCATAAACCGTCCTTCCAAAGCGATTACACTCTAAGACACCCTAATCCCAGTCAATAGCAAGATTCCAGTATGTACTTCAATCCCACAGGTTTCCAATAGCGATCAGGTTCTGAAATGACACCGTAATCGTTAAGGCTTTATCATGCCTGGGAATCTCTTTTTATCCCCTACTCCACGGACTGTAGGCACCAAAATCAAAATCACTACGTCTCCAAGAACATCAACAGCCACCGGCGGCTACAAAACAAAGCCAACCTTCTACTAGTCGAACGCGCCTTTCCTTCGTTCTCGTCATCGATGCGGTCACGAGCTCAGCTACTTCATCCTCTATCATTTCGAGGTATTATCTAGGCAATGAGCTTCTTATAGAATTGAAGAAAGAAAGACTAACATACTCTTAAGATAGAAAAGTAGCCAAGTGCATTCTTAGAACTTTCATAGAGATGCCATTATCAAAACTAGTCTTTCCATGATATCAGTGTCTTTTCTGAATTCTCTGCAGCTTTTCTGGGAATTAGATTGACCTGGAGGAACTAGGGATGTGAGAAGAAGGCTACAAAGCGAATGTGTTACTCATTCGACACATTATCAGCGGCTGTTGCTGGATTTGCTAACCACGATACCCTTGAGGTTATCACCTTCGTGAGTTGGTAAGGACTAACGCAGAAGGCTACTTAATTGGTGGACGAAGAAAGAGGTTCTTTTTCACCACCAAAAGTTTCTAAGATGCATCTTGAGACAAGATCCTTGGAAACAGGTCGATGGTGGAGGTAATTCTCAATAACAAATAGCTCATAAAAGAATGAGTCGATACGTGGGAATACATATCATGGGAATAAGTAGGTTAGGTAACGTGAAAGGCACCTAGCCAACACACAGTGAGGCATTCGATTGCTCAAAGATTGATAGCATGCCCCTCTGTGCTCGTCTATTCCACCAACATATTGCCATCAATATGATTCACCCGCATCTTTGGACTTTTTTACAACCCTGTATGCAGATGCGCAATAATGTTAAGAGGGTCTGGTAAAAACAAAGTTGATCGCATGAGAAGTACGGAGCTTGTACGAGCTACTCTTGAAACTGGAGACGTGGTACCGTATTGCACCGTCCTCGTATCCAATCTATCTGACGAAACAATGTATGTTTCTGCAATTGATATGCGCATCAAGTATCTTTTCTGTTTCATATCCGTCGTCTTCGTCATTGTTTGCGCTACTGTAAGTGTGACTTTGTTCATGTTTGCGTGAATGGCAAGGGCGCACAGCTGACTTTGATCACTTGTTACTTCTGGGATGGCAGCCGCAATCGGCCCTTTCTTTGCTGCTAAGGTGCTTACTGCGCTGCTGGAAAAGTTCTGGTGGCTGAATAACTCTTAGATAGTTTTGGTGGGTTAGACTTATTAAAAATTATTTTAAATAGAATCAATAATTAATGCCTTTTAAAGGTATTAGAGTTAAATCTCAATAAAGACTGTTAATGATAACTTTGTGCTTACCTATATTAGCCTACTAGTGGCAGTAGAATAACATAGCTGCAGATAGCGGAGTGGTGGATTGGTGGCCGAGAGCCCAAATGACCGAAGCCCTAGTAGTACGCTACCTTAGTGTGAGTGGAGAAAACAATCCCGAAAGAAAGAAACTAAGCTTCTCTCAGAACCCGAGCATATCGCAACACACCGACATTCATTCCTCATGCTCACACGATTCCTGGCCGCCTGTACGGCCCCCCGCACGCTAGGATCACGGCGTTGTGAGAAGACGTTGACATTGATACCAGCTGACTGTGAGGCTTGCGCCACTGACGAAAGGGAACAAGGTCGATAATTCGGTGCGCGAAAGAGTACATTCAGCTCCCCCCTCTTCTTCTTCTCTACCCTGTCATCTGTCAGTCGTATCCCTCCGACGGGGTTTAAGTTTCCAGCCGGACAAAAAAAAGCAAACGCCTCGGATTTGTACGAACGAGTGGCTATCGCTTGGTTTGCCAACGGATCCAGATCCTCACCGACACTTCAAAGCAAGAGTACATATCAACAAGAACGGACTCCACTTCAGCAAACTGCCCTCTCATCCAACCAAACCCGACCTCGCCAATTTCCCCTCTTTATTACCCGTTTGTGCAAAAAATAAGCATAAATTATACCTGTTGGCCCCCTCCTCGTACGCGCGCAAGAAAAAAAAAGCAGGACCCTGGAACCGAGTTCAAAGAGATACGCGCGCGCACGCTCAGCAAAGCTCAAATTCGCAATTTAAAGCTCCTAATAAACGTGTTCATTTTCCGTATTGCGCATCCCCTGCTACCCCCCTTCGTATCTCAAACTTCGGCCTACTTTCACCTATATTACCGTGCTACTCTACTTCTTCTCCTCTTTTCCCGCTTTCCCCAAAGAGCTGCAAAAACCCACACACACACACTACCACCACCACTATTACTGCGAACTACACCGGCAAACCCAAAGGAAAAAAAAGCACAAGCGCCATCCTGCGAACTACCGGTTTACAACACACATACCTCTGCCTCTCTCTCTCCACACACACACTCACACAGAAACGCCCCCGAAACAAGCGAGTCAGTCAACCACCTCCAAACCCCACACTCGCCAACCAAACACGTCACCACCTGCGATCTCTCACCAACCAATCAACCACCCAACCCCTCATACTCCACAAAAACACCAACATCAGCAACAGCAGCAGCAATGGGCAAAGACTCGTCCTTCCGCATCTGCATCGCCTTGCTCCTCATAGTCCAGCTCGCATGCTGGTCCCTAACCCTGCTCGACCTGCTGCACCCTGGCAAGCCACACGCCGTAATGCGCAACATCATGGACCTGGTCTCGCTCTTCTTCTCGCGCCAGTCGACAACCGCGCTGCTGAGCTACCGCGATATTAAGGCATTGATGTACTGAAGTGAATGGCACTTTTGCGCGCGCAACACTTTACGGGAGTCCCCCCCCCTCTTCATGTCTCTTAACATGGAAGGGGGGGGGCGGGCAATGATTTGATATGATAACCACGGTTTCTTTTTTTTCTTTTTTCTTTTTCTGTATTTGTCTTTGTGTCGGAGTTTCTCTTTTTTCTTAGTGTTCACGCGGGTTGGAGGGGGAAGGAGGAGGAGTTTACGGAATCTTTTTGTTTATGTGAGATTTTTTTTTGGGGGGGGGGGGGGGAAAGAAGTGCAGAAGGGAAGAAAGAGAGAGTGAGTGTGAGTGTGTGTGCTATGAGAGTAACTTACTCGATACCCCCCGCGCCATCATCATCATCATCCCCCTCTTTCCGAGGGGATAAAAAGATGAGGTGGAAAGAAAGGGGGATACCCACCCCCTCCGGAGCGAAAAAAAAGCTATCAGAGCTGAGCCGCGTCGCGGAGGAGGAAGGGGGCCAAGAAAGGGAGAGGAAGACAGAAGAAGCGAAGAAAGCGAATTAGCAACCCAGAGATACCAAACGAGACTGACTGTATCAGCTGAGAAAACAGCCAACAATTTTTTTTTGCCAGAAGGAGTAAGGAAACATTTAAAGTCATCGTGTACTAGCTTTTCCATCTTTGATTTTGGAAAACTTACCAAGTTCAAAAACTTTTTTTTTAAAATTCTCCACACTTTACCGAACGAATAACTATACGTATTGTCCCTGTATATATGATGCTTCCTTTCCTTTCTCCGCTCCCCCGCTCGAGAAAAAGAAAAGAAAAGAAAGAAAGAGAGAGAAAGAAGAAAACCTAGCCCACACTAAAAACACAGGTTCTTATTGCAGACACATACACATAGGAAAAGGCACATGCTTTCTTCAAGGTAAATTGGAGCGCCGGGTTGTCCCGCCCTCTTTTGTTTACTTAATCTGCCTTTGATTTCAATGCTGATAACAATCTTCACTTCCCCCCTCCATTTCCCACTAGCTCACCAAAGCATGTGTGCATACGTATATGACTTTGACCAACGTAGTAAAAAAATTGGTTATAGCGATTGTTGCGGATGAGAAAAAAAAACCCCAAAAAGAGGGCGGAATGCTCGCCGACAAAAGAAATGGTACCCCCAACGCCATATAAAAACACCGATGAGAATGCAAAGTGATGGGAGTTGGTGCGGAATAGTGGGTTGGAGTGAAAAAAAAAAGTGTTTTATGAAATGTGAGAGAACTACTGAGTAGCGTGGTGGCTCACTTCATGTGCCATGCTGACTTCTCCGATGTGCTTCTGGTCCATGTGAGAACGCTCATCGGAAACAAATTCAACAGGAGAGGCCGAGCTAATTTCGTCACTGCCAGCATTGTGAGCACTAGCCGCCTTTGGCGTGTCGTCATTTGGCCTGAGTGTTGTTGTGCTCTCAGCTAGTTGGTCGGGAACGTCTGCAGTACTACCCGCCGAGTCTTCAGCTGCCTTGTTGTTGGCACCGTCCAACTGCAACCGAGTCTTCGTCTCTCCAACATCCTCAATAAACTGAGCCTTGCTCTCGTTCTTGTTCTCCTCCTCTGGGGAAATGGCCTCTTGAAGACTTTGAAAGTTGAACATGGGTTCCGTGTTGGTTGGGATATTCGGGATCTGTGGGGGACTATCCCCGGAAGCATTCAGACTGGGTGAATATGATGAACCGGCCGCTAGATTGTTCTGGCTCTCTTGTCGCAACGAGTTTTGGTAGGACTCGGAATATGACGACGTGGACGACGAAGCATTTGAAAGATTGCGCATCAGCGCACGGTGTGACTGCTGCTCGTTACTGTGCGGATCGAGTGTTGCGGAATTGGCCGAGTCTGATGTCTCTCGCTGAATTTGCGCACGGCTGGCTTCAAGATGGCCTTGAGGATCATCCCTGGTAGAGACAATGTTTGAAGTCGATCCCAGTTCTGACTTGGAGCCACCCGCGCTACCAGATCGGTCGATGGCTTTTCCTTTTCCAACTGCAGCCGAACTGTTGGCTTCTGCGCCATCAATGTCGTCAATAGATATAGGGTGAAAGCCGCTGCCAATGTTACGTTGGGCCTTTACAACCTTCTTGAGCTCCTTGGTCTTCTTCTTTTCCTCCTTCCGAGCTTCTTTGGCAGCTTCCTTTTCATCCTTTTTCTTACGCTCTTCTTCGGCCGCCAAACTAAGACGGATAGCCTCCATCATCATGAGATCCTCGAGATCTTCAAGTCTGTTGCCTCTCCTCGAGCTCAACCGATTGGGAAACAAATCGCTTGAAGACCCTTGCTGGCCCGAAGAGCTTTCGCCTTCGCGTCGCGGTGTCCCATTTCCACTACTACCTCCGCTATCGGTAGTGAATAGTCGTCTTCGTCTGCCGATACCAAAGCGACTCTCTCCCTGTTGCAGATTGCCCATCATGTAGGCAGCGTTGTGTAGAGCCGTGGCCGCAGCAGCTCTTCGTAAAGCATGGGACTTGGCATCCGCAAGCTTCTTTGCCCAGTCAGGCCGCACCATGTCTGTTGTAATGACTGTCTTGTCATTAACCGCGAGTGACGTCGCCCTTCTTCGTCCCGATCCAGCCGAGGTGGGTGAGTGCAAGGATGTTGTGGATGACATTGCTGATGTTGCGCTGCCCAAATGGGTTGAGCCCTGGCCGCTGTAGACTAGTCCTCTCCTAAAAGGCGGTGGCTCATACGTCACTCCGAATTCTGTTTGTGTGCAGTACGGGCATGCAGCGGGTTCTGATACCAATTGGATCTCCTCTTCCGGCTCAGCGGGTGGCGTGCCTTCAGCGCTAGGCTCTCCGTGGTGCTCCGGGGGATGCGGGTCCGGACGCTTGATTTGGACAAAGCACTCGGAGCAGATGGGCTGATCGCAACAGCGTGTTCGGTTGAGATATGGCGGGTAGTACATGAAGCAGATGGGGCATTCTGACGCATTCTTGTATAGAAAAGCCTCGACCCGTTGGCCATTGACGTACGGATCCTTGGGCAGCTGTACTTCCTGGGGAGCCATGTCGGCCTGCGATGCATTGCGCGAGCCGGTTGCAAGAGAAGCAAGAGTTTTGGCGCGACTGCGGAAGAAGGGCGAGGAGGGGGATTGGTTGGACATTGGGGATGTAGGCGAAGGAAGGGAGGAGCCAGGATGCGAAGGTGATAGACCACTTCCTCGATCTGGCTCTTGGGACATGGATCGGGAGCCCATGGGCACAGTAAGTTGGTTCAGGTTCGGCTCAGAGCTGCGGGGGTTCCATACTGGACTGAGGTTGTTATTCGGTCGAGGCGGCTCTTGGGGAGGAATGGCGTCGGCAGCGGGTAGCGGGCGGCCGTTTACGACTTCGACGAGCTGGTGCTCAGTCCAGGTGTCTTGGTGATCATCGAGACCTCTCCAAAAGGGAGCAAGTCGGCGTTCAATCTAGCATGTGTCAGTAAGATGTTCTAAAGGCAGTGGTGTAATGCCGTACCTGCAGCTGTCGCACCGCGGCCTTGCTAAAGTCTTCGGGGCCGGTATAGACTCCAAGCGTGACCAAATAGCCTCCATCGACGCCCTCCTCTCTCAGACTTCTTTCGCGCTCCTGCGCCCGAAGAATACGCTCTCTCTCCAGCTTCCGGGCTTCCCTCTCTGCCTTTGTCTCACGGCGTGGCTCGAGGGCAGGATCTCGCTCAGCATGGTCTGTTGGTCGGAAGCCGAGGATGGATAGGTCTGCTCTGCTGCCTCTATCCCTTCTCGAGTTGCCATAGGGATTGTTGCCTGATCTGTCGTGTCCGGGCCCGGCTGTGGTTGGAGAAGCGATGTTGTGTGCGCTGGAGCGGCGGCCATGGCCCCTTCGTTCTGGCAGAGACTCTTTTCCCTGCGAGTTCCCCATTGTGGAGCAAGAGAATCGAGGGAACGAGGCTGTCGGGCGAGAGGCGGATGGTGGGGAACTTGTAGTTGGGGGGCCCGTGTATGGCCAAGAGCCGTGTCACGGGCTGTTCCGACAGGGATGAAGTCTTATCGCGAGGGCGGGCTGGTGGAGGGTGGTGAGGCTGTCTGGTGGGCGATAGCGAGTGTCACAAGGACATGGATGCTGGGAATGTGGGCGGCGAGGGTGCCTCTCCCTGTGCTGGCGACTCAGGAAACGCGGGCGGGGTGGGATGGCAGTCGCGACTGACAGAAACAGCGCATGGGCGAGGGCGAGGGCGAGGGCGAGGGCGAGGGCGATGGGCGGGAGTGGTGGTGGTGGTGGTGGTGGTGAGCAAGGATTGGTGAAATGATGTCGTTTCTTGGCAGCCAGACAGGGCGGTGATGGGCAAACCGCGTTATGATGCTGTTAGGGCCGAAATGGGCAGATATCAGGCTGCAGACACGGACACGGGCGCCGGCATGTCAGCCCGGCGTGCATCCAGCTGAGACGGCCTGTTGCAGCGAGAGGGGTGGGCGACTTGTGCGGGTGAATGCCGTCGGTCTGCTAGGATGCGAGAGTGAGAGGGAGGGCGAGCAAGACTCGACGACGTCGACGACGACTACGACGACACAGCGGCTGTGCGTACTATAGACCGGTATGGCCATGCACCGTCGGCCTAGCCACCGAGGCCAGCCCGCCGTGCCGAACAGCCCGCGCCCGCCCTCGTCAAGCCCGCCAGCATATTGGCGATAGCGTGCATCCTCCATCCTCTTGCTCCCACTCCCAGCCGCCCAAGCATCGTCGCTTCACTTCTGCATTTGCACATTCTCACATACACACGGTACGCCTCAGGCTGGGCGGCAGCACCCTCGCAATCATGAACACGCACGCTCTCCCTCGCCCTCTCCCACTGTTGGGCGGCGCCCGAGCACCACCGGCCGCCCCCCGCCTGAGTGCGGGGCTCCAGACACGACAGTCGGTCAATGCAATGGGGTTGGTTGCATAGCTGGCTGCTTACATACTCCCGCTACGTACACTCCTTCACATGCCCTCACGCCCGCCGCAGGCCCTCGCCATGCCTCGCCTTCTGCTCCCTCAGAGCGTCCCAAACTCCCACGACGACTCCCAGTGGTACTTGTCGCCGGGCCCGACGATCTGCTTGTTCAGCCGACCCCACTCCGGGCTGTTCAACACTATTAGCTTGGCTCGCCCACGACGTCACAACCTCTCCGTCTACTTACTGGTTGATGCCATCCGGGTAGTCCTGCGCCTCAATCGCAATGCAGCCGTCGCGCGGGATGAACTTGTCCTGTCCGGCAACCCCCTGCGTGCTCTTGAACTCGGTCTTGCCGTCGTTCCAGTTGCATGTGTACAGCACAACCGCGTCCTGGTCAGTCCTCAGGTCCGCCTTGATGCCGCTGTACGCGCTCGCTATTGTCAGCACGCTCTTGCGCTTGTCCCTCTTTTCGTTGAATGCCCACGCGCCGTTGTATCCGTGGCACCCATTACCGCAGTGGTTCTCGAAGCCCGCCCTGTCCGACGCAAACCCGAGCTTGTGCGGCGCTGACCAGAAATCATCAGTCGAGTTCGCCGCAACCTGCGCAATCTCCCCCGTCGGCAGAGCATTCGCATCAGTCACTACCACGCGCTTAGCCTCGGGCATGTACACTGTGTGGTCCCAAATGGTCCGGTTGTCCGGTCGCCTGAACGCATCAAGCTGAAAGTACGTGTGCTGTGTCAGCATGAGAGGAGTCTTCGCTTCCGGCGAGGTAGCATCCATGGAAATGTGCCACTTGTTCTTTGACACCGAGTATGTGACGCTGGCATCCACACGCCCAATCATGCCCAGTGACGAGTTGGAGGCGTCTGAGATGGCGAATGTGATTGACGACTTGCTTACACGGGTCACGTTCCACACCCTGTAAGACCAGTTGTTGGTACCGCTATGCAGAGTGTTCGGTCCATCGTTCTTCTCTGTATGGTACGTGACGTTGCCAATCTTGTATGTTGCGTTTCCAATGCGGTTGACGTATCGTCCAGGAATGGCATTGTACACGGGATGTCCAGGGTCAACCGCTGGGCAATGTTAGATGGAGCTGATTCTAGCACGACACAATTCTTACGGTAATACGTCGTGTTGTCGTAGCCTAGCACAATGTCCTGTGGTTTGCCCTTTGAATCTGTTTTCGTCAGTAACTGCACTTACTCATATCATGGAGTGCTCACCTTTGACCCAGAGATTGGTGAGGGTGGCAGCATATGGGATGAATTGCGCCTTGATCCCTTCAGCCTCAAGCGTGTATCGCCCTTGTGCATCTGGACGAGGCACCCGCGATTCGAGCGCATCTTGCGCTGTTGCTGTTGCCGCTGCCACTACCGCGAAAAGAAGGTATTTCATCGTCGACTACGTATCACAACAAGTGGAAAAGAAGGACAATGGTGCCAGAACATGCTCAGATTACGGCGCGTTCATCTTTTAATTCCCAAGAAGCACACAATAGGATCCTTCCTTCGGTAGTACATGCACATTTATTACCAGGTTTCGGTCCTGTAATACCATACCCCGGAACTCTGGATAAATCCGGGATTGGACAGATGAAGCCTTGGCTATATAAAGCAATATGCCAAAGATTGCTTCGAGATTCCTCAAGTTACTAGGTGGCTTAGCTGCGGAGTTTTAGTCTCTAAACAGACGTTTACGCCCCATTTCATTAGTATAACAGATTGTACCAAGTAGCGCGTGTCACATGGGCTGCACAACACAAGGGCACAGTGACCGTTTTTGTGGGTTACGTTTACCTTGCATGTGGGGCGACAAGCCGGCTGTCTATTCCTTGACCCATGCTCCCTTTCTGTTGTTCACTCGGCACCAGCTTCCTCTCATACGCTCGATAGCCGCCCGCGTGCGCGCGGCATTGGTTTCTGGTACTTCATCTTGGTAAATTTCATACGTATTCTCTCATTCGTCTTACTGTCATCAATGGCATGCGCTCACTCTCCGTTCATAACCAAAAGGTTTGTACATGGACGGCGTGGTGTTAATTTCGGTCACATTCAAGATCCGCGGAGTGATCAGCGGTAGACGTCACGTGGTGCGTCCGGGTACAACATCCGGTTGCCTTGATTAAGGAGCTGGAATGAGACCAGAAATGATTACCTTGCGCTGTATGTCCAAAGCTTGCAGATATGGCTGCCTTTATTTTAGATGAAAAGAGAGTATTCGAATCCATATATGCCTCTAGGTTTGCCAAGAATTCTGTACTCCTTTCTACATCAACTGGCCAACACATATCATGTTCTCGCATAAGTCACTCGCTCATCACAAGAGAAGGTGATATATATAACTCATGAAATTTGTTACTACAAACTGCTATCTACATCCTACATCCCAAGGGCCCCTACGTCTGCTTCTTCGCTCCAAACATTTACTAACTGTGCTCAGCAATAGTAAGCTTGTTTGCTATCGAGTTGCTTCCCGCTCCAGTCAAAGGTACAATCAAAATCTTTGGCGAGTTTATTTTTATAGATGGATTAAACGACTAGCTTTAACGATGCTTTCGTTAAAGGGTTTCTGGTCTGTTAGCATTTGGTTGCATGTGTTCAGTATTCAAAGACTGTTCAGTGGCTCCAACGGGTGTTTTTCTTGGAACATTGGGCTAGATAGCCTCAGTTTGAAATCACACATTCAATCCTCTCAACTCACAAACATCTCTGATAGGCAACTAACACAAGAAAATGCTCACGCGAGCAGTATACTATAGCAACGCTTTAGCGCTAACCGGAGCTAATGCCCTGCTTAACGCCGAACTGACGTCTTCATCCATGCACGTCGTACGTCTTACACACAAACATCAGACCTGCATCAACAATGGCCGAAGATATGCAAATTAATCCACAACGAGCAAAGCAGCTATCCGAAAACATTGCCAGCATAACCGCGCGCATCAATGCCGCGAGTAAAGGCACCAAACCAGTGCGTAACCCCCTCCTCTACATCATTCCCTTACGCAAGTTAACAAAAACGTCCCACCAGGTGCGCCTAATCGCCGTCTCAAAGCTCAAACCCGCCAACGACATCCTCGCCCTCCACCAACCCCCCAACCCGCTTCAAACCCACTTTGGCGAAAACTACGTGCAAGAACTCCTCGAAAAAGCCAAACTGCTGCCCCGCTCCATCCACTGGCACATGATCGGCGGCCTCCAATCCAACAAATGCAAGCAACTGGCCGAGCAAATCCCCAACCTCTGGTGCGTCAGCAGCGTCGATACCGAGAAGAAAGCAAATGAACTCGAAAAGGGCCGCAAAGCCCTCTTAGAAAAAGATAGCTCAGCGAGTAAGCTGAGGGTTATGGTGCAGGTCAATACCTCGGGCGAAGACAGTAAATCCGGCGTTGAGCCCCAGGATGCGCTGGCGCTGTGCAGACATGTTGTGGATAAGTGTCCGCACCTGCAACTCGCGGGGTTTATGACGATTGGCGCGATTGCGAGGAGCAAGGCTATGACGGAGGAGAATGAAAATGAGGATTTTGTGGCGCTGAGGGAGACGCGGGATAGGGTTGCTGAGGCGCTGGGGTGGGACAAGGAAAAGCTGGAGCTGAGTATGGGCATGAGTGCGGATTTTGAGGGCGCCATTCGTATGGGGAGTGATGAGGTGAGGGTGGGGAGTGAGATTTTTGGCGTTAGGCCGCCGAAGAAGGATGCCGTTGTTAAGGAGGAGGTTGCTGGGGAGAAGAGTTGAGGTGTTTTGGATATGGATACATCTCTTTTGGTGGATTGTGTTGGACCATCGAATGTCATTGAAGAATATCAAGGGGGGGGGTGCTCGACAAGACATAGATATCCAAGTACTGGAAAAAATACACATCCGAAATTCGTGTCAACATTGCAAAAAGGGTACATTCCTTCCTCTACCCCAACATCTCAACCCTACATCATAACATCCACCCTACTGCGCAAACAACAAAGCAACGATAATCCTCGTCGCCTCAAACACGCCCTTCCCCTGCATCAACGCATCAAACGTCTCAGGCACCTTCTTCAAGCTTTCCGCGGTATCCGTCTCCGACCCTATTTCACCTCGTTAGTTTCCCAAGAACAAGTATTCTTTTGATCCGTTTTCAACGTCAAAAAAAACTTACAAACACGAGGAAACGCCGGCTCAACAGCGACATTCGACTCGGCCTCACCCGTCCAATCGAACCCAATGCGCCAACTAAGCTTAAGCACAACATGGGCATCTTGCAGCACGAGCGTATCACGGCCGAGATGGCGATTCAGCTCCTTTCGCGAGAGAGATTTTGAAGGTTTAGTGGATTGTGTTTGCAGTGCGTTCTCCAAGTCTTTTTCTGAGCGGCCGATGAGAAGGTGGGGGAAGCTTGTTTCGACCTTGTGCCAGTACTGCGCGCGTTTCTGGGCGAGGGTCCAGTACGAGTTTATGGCCCACGAGGCGTTGCTGACGTCTTTTTGCTGGGCGCGGGAGCGAATGAAGGTGCCGAGTTCGTGTTCTGCCCAGGGTGTGAGACGGACGAGCTGCAGCTTTGTTATTTCGGGTGCCAGGGTGTTGATGGTTAGGGAAAGTTGGGCTGTGAGGAGTCTTTGGGGGCCAGTGATGTCGATTGTGTGGGTTTGGTGGGCGCGTCGAGAGGATGGGGCGGATTTGCTTCCGGGAAGGCTGATTTGGGTCGAGAATTTGAAGGAGGTAAACATTTCTAGGTAGGGTAGAGGATCTGCTAGTTCTACTGGCCGATGAGAAGGAACAGGCTTATCCGATTGCTTGGAGCGTGGTGGAGGAGCGGGCATGGCGGCAAATGGCAGGAATGAGCAAAGTAGACTAGATACTTTTGGCTTCTCCGGTTCTATGTCTGCTCCGCTGATTTCGGTAATGAAGTTGCTGGCTTGAGGTCAGTCACTGATCCATATTCATTACTTCCTAAGACTTACCGTAGACTTTCACGTTCTTGGGGTTGTAATGTCTCTTCTGGGCCTCGCCGCTGTTCCTTTTCAATCTCATCCATACATCTTGAGACTTGAAACTCAAGTTTCTCCACTTCACGTTGTAGCCGTGCTTTTTCCTGTTTTCTCCGTTCCACCTCTGGATCAGGAGGTTGCCGTTCTACAACTTTGCGTCTATTTTCCTCTACTGGTCCATCCTCTACAGCCCTGGCACCATCATCTGATTGTACTGCAGGTGCTTTCGGTTTCAATGGCGATTGTCTGAGGCCATTCTTTGCACGTGGAGGTCGTTTGCTTGGTGACGAAAACAAGATACCTCGAGGCGGTTGATTTGATCCTTCGAAAGTTCGTTGTGATGGTGTGTTCGGTAGGTCTGATTCTTCACTGGCCTCTTGAGCATCCTCGGCAGCACGCGCCTGTCTTGCCCTGGCTGATATATCTCCATGAGCTCTGCGTCTGGGAGATGCGCTAAGTCGAGGAGTTGATTTAGAAGGCCGAAGATTCGGATAGGTTCCCGCAAGGCTAGCTTTGGTAGGTGACGCAAAAGACGGTCGGCGTGGAGGTTGTCTCAGTGGACTCGATGAGCGGCCATCGGGAGAGCGGGTCCTCCTCCGCTTGGACGATGGCTCGTTCATGACATTCAATGTGTGTATGCGACCGGATGAGCAAGCCTGTGACTTCGGCGCGTAGTAAGAATCGGTTTTCGTGTTAGGAATATATTATTGTTCTGCTATACGTGCTCGGCGGGGCTTTGCGACGAGGGTGAATGCGACGCGTCGGCGCGTGTTGTGACCCTGTCGGCGTTCGCTGCAGCTTTTGCCGACGGTTGGAAATGCGATGCAAAATGACGTCGAACTCTTCACTGATACCAGCCAAGCACAAAACTCCACAACTTGCAAACCGACAGTCTCGGCATGTTGTAGTCAGGACATTCCAATCGCCATACACTGCTGAGTCTTGGTTGCTCCTTTGGTAAAATGGAGCATATCACGCACGCAGCATCAAAGGCTTTGCGCCAAAGATTGTGCGCTTCCTGCTTGAAGTCATGGCGCAGGTCGCGTACTTCAACAGAGGCTGGACAGATGGGACTACAGAATAGCAATCGGATACAGCGTAGATTCAAAGGCTATATAGCGCCGGAGGGAGAGCAGGCCAGGCCCATCACAGGCTTCTACGAGGGTCAGATCCCAATCACATGGAACCGAAATACTTGTGCTAATGGCTTGTAGACATGCTAAAAAAGCCCCTCTCTCAAGTCCAATCTCTGTCCCATAACACTCCTGAGCCCCCGAAGGAACAACCGCAGACTACGAAGGAGGAGACATTCGCAAAAGCACGTATCATCTTTGGATCCACGACTGCGCTCGAAGAACGTAGACAAGAGATCCTGAAATCGTCACAAAATATTGCCGGGGTTCTGGTCCCTCCACGTCCCGAGGAACCAGACAATTGCTGCATGTCCGGTTGTGTGAACTGTGTATGGGACATGTATCGAGATGAGATGGAAGAATGGGCAGATAAGCAGGCTCAGGCGAGAGCCGCAATGCAGGCTCAACGGCAGGAAGGTAAAGGGACTGGAAGCATGGTGGCCGGGGACTCAACGCCGAACCATGTTGCAACGAGCATGGACGATGACGGTGGTGGTAGCGAGACCAACTGGAATGGCGGCCTGGATGACACCGACAAGGAAAAGCTGTTTGAAGATATACCTGTGGGCATTCGGGAATTTATGAAGACAGAAAAGAAGCTAAAACAGGCGCAGAAGCAGGCAGAGGCGGCCTCAACTGCTTAAGCATTATTGTCCACCAAAGCCTGGAGGATTGTCTTGTTCTGAATAGCTGCCTATCTTACCATAAACTTTCAAATAACCATACAATACATATGTTCCCCTCCTGCCGCAGATCCTTACCAACGCCCAATTATGCAGTTTCCATTACACCGGTCACGCTCAATCTTCACCAACATCCACGCCCTTTGCGCTGAGGTCTTTGCGTGCCTCTGCTATTTGCTGCATGAGTTCGGCGTGTGCTTCCGGTACATCGTTGAAGGTAAAGACACCCCAGCCCAGGCTGAAGAGGAGGTAGGCGCCAAAGGAGATGAGAGCCCAGAAGGGAATCTATCTTGAGGTCAGCCAGGCATTGACATATGAGGAGGGGAAGCCTACATAAGGTATGATCTCTTCCTGGACCTTTTGGGGCAGAGGAACGACCTGGAGGAACAGGGCAAGGTATACCTGTGCAGCACGTGTTAGAATACCATCTTGAATTGAATGCCACGGCTAAGGGGCTGTCGTACAGAAGTAAGGAGCATCGCAATGCTGATGGTCTGCTGAGCGCGCGTCATGATGGCGGTATTGAAGGTAGAATTGTTTTCAGCGAAAGTCTTTGGTCGGCAAAATTATGGGCGCGAGATAGTCGTCGTGGTCGTGGTCGTCTGGTGTTGAGTGTTGAGTGCCAGATCGCTCAACTGTCGCCAAGGGATCTTTCCCAGGGGGCCCAGCGGAGCCGAACGGAGGCAAGGCTAAGCGGCCGGTGGGTCGAGAACGCCATGGGAACTTGCCCGCCTTGCGCGTCTTGGAAAACAAGTGGCTGAAACTAATAACTGGAGCTTTTTCTGCTGTCGCGCCTGACAAATCCCACTCTGCAGCTGTTGCTTGGACGGGAATACCGGGGCAACTAAAAACCATTTGCTATCTTTCCCACTGCGCAGCCGCCACCATGCACACCTGACCTGACCCAACCATTGTCACGACTTCTGCGGCAATTGCATTTCTCCATCCTCCTCCCAACTTTCCGATATGCCACTATCCAATGAGGAGCTTGGCGAACACGTAGCGTCCTTAGAGCGCCTACTTCAAGGGAACCCTGCAGGCCAGACCGCTGCTCTCACGGACTACGTGCATAAGCTCGCTGCGTTTGCAACAAGTGGGGACCGTGTACCCATAGAGAAGACGCTACAACTCTTTGGAACCGCCGTTGGAGGCCGCAGTATGTTTTTCAGGCCTGTCAACTACGCTCCGCTAACCAGTCACAGAGAGATGGCAGGCTCCGTTCAGAGACAGCGGCCTTCTTGCGTTCGCTCTGCGGGGTTTAATCGCTGCCCGCGACGATGAATCTATAGTGAAGCAATGCTTGAGAGTCATCGGTAATTCTGTTGCCGACAATGGTACTGTATCCAGGAGTGGAGCCTTCTACAATACAGATAGTCTGACTGGAACCAAGATACCAACAGAGAGCTCGCGGTGAGAGACATACAGGCCATCATTAGCTGTCTCCAGTCAGCAGAGCTACGCCTGACTACACTGGCCGTACTTTTCAATCTTTGCAACGACTTTGGTGAGCAGGATTGGAAGCCGCTCCGAACATGCAGCTCATGCAGACAGATCCTGCCAAAGCCGCATCGGCCACACTGAGACTGGACGCCACGATAACTACCTTCCTTGTTCTCGACAGGATACCAGAGGCAGCGCTCGACTACGCCACAGATCTACTCAGCTGGACTACGAGTAACCTAAACGATGCTCAGTTCAAAGATGAAGTATCCCTCGAGACGTTCAAGAGCTTACTAAATGTAGCACTCCAGTTTGATGAAGACCATTATCTCGAGTACGTCGCTATTCTGGTACATTACCTCCAGGATCCAGAGTTTCAGCAGAGAATAGCAACACCAAAGCTTCTCGACGACCTCGTTACTCTCATGTTGGAGTTCGAGGCGCGGCTCGAGCCAGAGGAAATTAAGGCTGTATTCGAGGAACTCGCAACAAGCAAAAACACAGACAGCACTTCGTCAGACGAAGCACAAGTTCTCCTCATGGCCCAGCTGATTGGCATGTTGTCTGCCGCCTCAGCAACCGATATCTTTTCACAAACCTTCAACATCAGAAGTCCAGTCATCGAAAGAATGGAGGCCAAGTTACGAGCACCCTGGGAGAGCGCACAGCCTTCTACGATATGCGCTTGTGTTATGATGGGAAATTTGGCCATGTCTGACGAAGTTTGCATTGACATGGTCAAGATCATGGAGCTCCACGTTCGCTTGATTACGATTATGAAAAAGAGCGATAAGCCCGCTCTTTTGTACGCTGCAGCGGGTATCATGCGACACCTCACTTTTCCAGAAGCTAATAGGGCTTTGCTTGCAGATGCCGGGCTGATGGAAGCATGCTGTCGCATGCTGGTACTGGAAGATCCTTCTGTTCGCGGCGAGGCGGCGGCCATACTGTGCAAGCTCGTCACTGGCAACTTCTACAACATTGAGAAAGTCATGTATGAGACAGTTGGACCTGACACGGAAGCATCTGATGCAGATGTCTCAGCGGACACTGTGATATTCTCACACATTGTTGAACAGGCCCTCGTTGCATCCAAACCACTTCCCAGCACCACGATGAAGAACCCCATGATTGAGCTTGGCCGCACCATTGTCGCCATGTTGCGCTACCTCGGACGACCAAATGCGGAAAAAGATGTCGAAGCAGTACAAATACAGATTTTACAGGTGCCCCAGATCGCACGTCCGATCGCCCAGCTCGTCCGTCAACGCTTTTACCCCGAAGCTAGATCTGAAGGACTACTTGGCCTAGGTTTACTGGCACAGACGCTGGAGGGCGCTGCTGCCATCGCTGACGAGATCAAGGAAGACAGTGGACTTCTTGAGATTATCAAAGAGCATGCAAATGCAACAGAAGAGGGTCTTGCGCAGCAAAACCCCTCAACGGCCAGTAGAGACCACCAGAACGCGATTGTGCTGCTCCAAGCGCTGCAGAACAATGCGGTAAGAGAACTCCAAGAAGCCGTTGGGGAGGTACTAAGGACTTCCAGGCTGACCAAATGGACGCAATACTCGCGCATTAGGCAGTCACTGTCAAAGCATCAGCGGGATAATTCGATACGAAGAACTTCGGGTGACACAAGCGTGCTAAGTAGCCCTTCGAGAGACTCGCCAGGACGAGTCAGGGAGTTGGCAAGAAGGGCTACAGAGTCTCCGAGAGGGGTATCTGCAAGACCGAGGGGCTCCACGTTTGTCGGGGAGCTGACGGACGAACGGCCGCGGACACCGGTGAGGGTGCGGGATGCGATTGGAGAATTTGAGGAGATCTCCCCAAAGACGGTGGTCAAGGAATTGCCAGCTAGGGAACGACTAAAGGGGAAAGGGATGAAACGCAGCAACACGATGCCAACTTCATGATCGTTACGCCTGAATGTTTTGTATGTATATACTAGTTTTTAATAATGCACTCTCCACTTGTTCAAGATCATCCATCTGCCGCAATGTCAAGTGAGGAAATGAGCGGACTCGTCACGTTTGGCCTATGGTAACAGATGGACATGCACATATCTGTGGAGTAAGTCTGGACCTGCAGGATATGGCTATCGATCAGATAAATTGGAAAATCTACAGCAAATAGGGCGCGTTTGAAAAGCAGTACATAATCAGCGTAGCATTGATAGTCGGAACAGGTGACATAGGCGTAATCAAGTGGGCTCTGATTGGCTGGGACCGCCACTCACGCGACTCCACCTCTAGGAATCCAGGGTCCATGTCAACGACGTAGCTGTCAGAGGTAGGCAGAGTGACGGGTATAAAGAAGAGCCTGGAGCCTGCTTCTCAGTGCCATTCAGTACATTCAGCTCTTCAGGTCTACGACATTCGACTCCAAGAATCAATCGCTTTTACTCATCCACCAAATCAACCCTATCAATCCACATATTTCAAAATGGTCTGCTGCGGACGTAACAACGGCACCTGCGTGTGCGCCCAGGAGGCCAAGTGCTCTTGCGGAAAGCAGCCCGCACTCCAGTGCAGTAAGTCTTCTATTTCCACGACATGAAAATCAACATTAACAAATTTCAGCTTGCGAAAAGGCTGCCACCGAGAACAAGCTTCCCTCTTCCACATGTGCCTGCGGAAAGCGCGCTGAAGGTAAGGATTCCGCTGCTGCTAGTTTATCAATCTCGAATTGTTCTAACATGACATTTTAGATGCCTGCAACTGCAGCCGCTCTGAGAACAACGGCTCATCAAACCTCGAGACCGACTTCACCACCAAGAAATAAGTGTATTGGTGCAATGCAAGAGTTGTAGATGCATTTGAAGCGAGGAGAGGCTGGCATACGGAAGGGAGTTCCCGGCGTTTATTGAGTGTTTACGAGGCGTGGGAGGGCGATTGTGCCTGGATTGGATCAAACTTACGAGGCACCTTGCCAGGGCGCTTACGACTGAGATGATTGAAAGTGCTAAATGCTAATCAAAGTTTTCTTGCCAACTTCGCCCGTTCGTGTAAAGCGCGTATCGTGTACTGAGTTTGATCTTCAATGTATCTGACTAACAGCCGCAAGATGACGTCTTCCTTCCTGCACAGTATATGCATGGTACTAGAATGTTCGCAGCAGCTACCAGAGTCTCCGTTGTTGTTCCTAGGGAAGTGTAAAGGACGCGTCTTGTGCATATGCTCGAACTGGCCTATTTATACCCAACACATGGCAGTGTAGGAAGGATACGCGATCAGCACTTTTTTTTTCAAGCAACCGCATCGTCTATCACTAGCAGAAAGTAGGCGGCAACACGGTGCATGTCCTCTACTCGTGGTCGCGATGTCGGGTGCTAGTCAGAGTCGCAGTCTCCTTGCACCGTGTGGAACCAGCGACGCACACTAGAACCCTGTCAGTCTTGGCACCTCATGCGTAGAGCATCCAACCGTCTACTTCGCCGACACGAGTGCGTGGACGCATTTGACTGTATAGCCTTGTGCAGCAGCATGCACAGTGTTTCCCTGTGATTCCCGTCTTTTCTTTTTCCACTTTTGTTTGCGTCTTAATTCTGTCGCCCGGCTCCTCATTTTGCTGACGGCCGCCCCTTTCGCGACCTATCCGCCTCCAGTCCTTAGAGCGCACGTCGGCATAAACCCTGCTGTGAGGCCCGTACCGCTACATCCCATAGCATAGTGCACCAACACCGCCGCATTGTCGGGCTATCTACCAGGTGGGAACCGCCCACCCACCACCACCACCTCAACTACCACCAGCATGGCGGCCTCGGTCACCTCCAAGATGGCGGCGAGGGCTGGTGGAGGGCTGTTCAGTCGAGATCAGACAGGCAACGTGCCTACCATGCGAGGTATGCGCACTTCCCGGCAGCACCATCACCACCAGCAACCGCAGCTTACTCACTGTGCGCAGGACTCGTGTCGTTTATCGCTGACCTGAGAAATGCTCGCGCCCGTGAGCTCGAGGAGAAGCGGATCAACAAGGAATTGGCAAACATACGGTGGGTGCACAATGCCGCGTTCTAAGCAACATCGGATGGCTAACAACATTACAGACAAAAGTTCAGAGGTACTATCCGCCTGCGTTTTCTGCTTGGTTTGGTCTGACAATAATTCCACCAGATGCCGGATTGAACGGCTACCAGAAGAAGAAATACGTCTGCAAGGTACCTACGCCGCGGCACAACCACATCCATCCTTACTGACAGTCGCAGCTCTTGTACATATACATTCTCGGTTGGAACGTCGATTTCGGACATCTCGAAGCAGTCAATCTTGTCTCGGCGACCAAATACTCGGAAAAACAGATCGGTTATCTCGCCGTCACCCTATTCTTACACGAAGAACACGAACTCCTACACCTGGTTGTCAACAGTATTAGGAAGGACCTGTTGGACCACAATGAGCTCAACAACTGTCTGGCATTGCACGCAATTGCAAATGTGGGTGGCAAGGAGCTGGGAGAGGCATTGAGTGCGGAGGTTCACAGACTCCTCATCTCACCGTAAGTTTCGCAGGACCAAGCACACGACAAGGCTGACACGGCATAGGGCTTCCAAGGCATTCGTGAAGAAGAAGGCCGCCCTCACGCTTCTGCGCCTTTACCGGAAACACCCTGCAATCGTACAGCACGAATGGGCCGAACGAATAATATCACTCATGGATGACCCTGACATGGGCGTTGCACTCTCTGTCACATCACTAGTTACGGCACTCGTTCAAGACAACGCCGAACAATACAAGGGAAGCTATGTTAAGGCCGCGAACAGGCTCAAACGGATAGTTGTCGACAATGAGTGTGCCGAGGGCTACTTTTACTACAAGGTGCCTTGTCCCTGGATTCTGGTCAAGCTGCTCAAGCTATTGCAGTACTACCCACCTCCTGGTCTGTCTACCCTCTGGTGATCTACAGCGGACTCTTACTAATCGAAAGCAGAGGATTCGCATATTCGGTCACTCATTCGTGAGTCGCTTCAGAAGATCATGGACTCGGCGCTCGAGATGCCAAAGAATGTGCAACAGAATAATGCACAAAACGCAGTCCTTTTCGAAGCAATCAACCTTGTCATTCACCTCGACACAGAGCAGGATCTAATGGTGCAGATTTCACAGCGACTGGGCAAATTCATCGCCTCTAGAGAGACTAACGTGCGGTATCTGGGGCTGGAGGCCATGACGCATTTGGCTGCTCGATCAGAAAACCTCGATCCCATCAAGAAACACCAGACCATCATCATCGGCTCATTAAGAGACAGGGATATCAGCGTGCGGAGACAGGGTCTGGATCTACTCTACAGCATGTGTGACCCGACAAATGCCCAAGCAATCGTGAACGAACTCTTACGCTACCTTCAATCCGCCGACTATGCTATACGAGAAGAGATGGTACTTAAGATTGCGATTTTGACGGAGAAGTATGCCACAGATGTTCAGTGGTACGTTGACATATCGTTACGACTGATTGCAATGGCGGGAGACCACGTTAGTGACGAAGTGTGGCAACGTGTTATCCAAATTACCACCAACAACGAAGAGCTCCAGGTGTACGCCGCCCAGACTATCCTACAGTACATCAAGGCGGACTGTCACGAAACGTTGGTAAAGATCGGAGGATACTTGCTTGGAGAGTTTGGCCATTTGATTGCGGATAACAAGGGATGCAGTCCCATCGAGCAATTCATGGCACTGAGCGCAAAGATGCGAGGCTGCTCGTCAAGCACGAGAGCTATACTTCTCTCGTGCTATGTCAAGTATGTCAACTTGTTCCCTGAGATCAAGCCACAGCTTCTCCAAGCATTCCGCGCCTACAGTCACTCGCTCGACTCGGAGCTTCAGCAAAGAGCATGCGAATACCTCACCCTTGCTACGATGCCAACAGACAACCTATTACGAACCGTATGCGACGAGATGCCTCCATACCCGGAGCGAACATCAGCCCTACTTTCACGACTACATCAGAAGCACGCCACCACCAGCGACAAGCGGACATGGGTCGTTGGTGGCAAGGACGCGAATGCAGATCTCAAAGAGTTCGGTCTTGCAAGGTCGAATACATCTGCCGGTGTCAAAAGAAGCCTCACAGAGCCCTTGTCGAAAGAAGCCAGGACTGGTGCAGCGAATGGCTCAAACGGTGTTGCTACGATTTCTAGCGACTTGGAGGGTCTCGACCTGAACATTGACACGACCACGTCCAAGGCACCGAACCTTGCAAGCGCTGCCCACTTGAGTCCGGACTGGGAAATTGGATACAACCGCCTCCTTCTCCGGTCTGAAGGTGTGTTGTACGAAGACCAGCAAATACAAGTAGGCCTACGAACCGAGTACAGAGGGCAACTGGGTGCTCTCATCTTCTACTTTACGAACAAGTCTCAGTTCCCAATGGGCTCGTTTACCACGACACTTGACAACAGATCTTCGGAAACCCTGAAAACAGACATCAAGGGTCTGCCCGATACTACGATCCCACCCGAGGGCCAGACCCAGCAAACAATCATGTTCGAATGCAAGAATGTCTTCGTCGACCCACCCACCATCCGCATATCCTACCTTGCAGGCGCTCTACAAGCTCTTACCCTCCAACTTCCAGTACTCCTACACAAATACATGGAGGGTGCCGAACTCAGCTCAGAGGATTTCTTCAAGCGCTGGAAGCAGATTGGCGGTGCTCCCCGCGAAGCACAGAGTATCTTTGGTCTTGTCAACAAGAACAGGACCATGAACTCGGACTTTGTACATAAGGTTGTCAAGGGCTTCAAGTGGGGTATTGTCTCTGGTGTAGATCCCAATGTGAAAAACGTAGTTGGTGCTACAGTATTGCATTCAAGCGAGGGCAAGTTCGGATGTCTGCTAAGACTGGAGCCGAACTTTGAGACTCAGGTATGTTGAGATGGTGGCAAAAGGTTCGCATCAAACTAACACTGTGTAGATGTACCGCATCACTATTCGTGCCACTGACGAGTCGGTACCGCCTGTCCTCGTAAAGGCTATGGAGAGCCGGCTCGCGCAGGGCATTGAAGGTCTAGCATAGGCACCAGACCCGCTACGCTTCGTAAATACGATATTCTTACGCCGTAACCCGTTCAATCGAGGCACCTGTTTTGGACAACAACTCAGAGTGTTCATAAATTTAATCATATTGGTGGAGACGTTGAAGAGCCTGCGATAATGGAGACTGTTTAGTGTATGAAGTCGTGGGAGAAGACAATGTTGGAAGTGAAGCGCATACCCTTTAAGACACATAGCATGAGCAAGCACACATTGAAGCGTTTGTTTTGCCATTGGTAGTGGAATTATTATTATTTGCGCCAATTATCCCGCGTGTCCTTGATATAGGCTGTGTAGCAACTTTAACCGCACGTACTTTTGGTTGTCTCTACTGAAGGCACCTAGTCGAAAAGTCACCTGATTCTCACGCAGGTACATGGACGCAAAGGACAAGGTACTAGAATGCGGCAGAAGTGCCGGCATGTCTGCTGGACTGGAAACACGGGTGAGAGACAGAGGCGGGGTCTTGGCATGAACCATACGAAGCCATGAGGACCAGCCCAGTGATGGGGATGCCATTCCGGTTGGGCCATGTCACTCTGGCCAATCATCTCGGCTCCAGATACGGACAAATAGTGCGGAGGCGGGAGGCGTGCAACCATCACGTGCAGCGACACCCGTCACCCACGCCTTGTCCATCTCTTGTGTCTATGAAGACGACAGCTGTTCCGTGGCCTGATACACACACGCGCTTTGACGTCCGACTTGACAGCGAAACGTGCTGTTGTTTGCGCCGAAATGTTGGCCACCTTTGCCGCTAACAACGAGTTTTTCAGGAAGCGCAAAAGTACGACCAACAAAGTGACAGAGCAGCGGTGCGCGAGACAGGAACAAGTCAGCTAACGGCACCGCAGGAGTCCACCGCGCATGCGAATCATGCAAGAAGCGGAGAAAGCGCTGCAGTCACACTTTTGACGACGAGGGCAGTACTTTTGACGACGACAAGGCCAGTACTGGAATCGGAAGCTCTTCCCAAAGTGGACACGCACCCAACCATACCTCAGATCCTCGTGGGCCTTCTGCGAACGGGCATTACCATACCCAAGATCCAAGAGGGCCCCGTGGGGACCTGCATTCACACGGCCATGCCCAGTCCACAATGCCGCCGTCACAAAGCCCGGCCTCAGACCAAACCGCCCAGACTCCACCAAACTTCTTGGGCTATCTGAACCCAGAAGCCGTCTTGCGAGAGCAAGTCCATTCGGAGCGTGGAAAGACAGCTTCATCGCCCGGCCCACCTCCTATCGGCCAATGGGTTGAAGAGCGAGACCAGAGGCCGAATTCGACGCAGACGGGACCGCATACTACGCGTATCGTCGAGACGGGGCCGCAATCTAACCCGGAATCTCAAATATCCCGCGCTCTTTTGACGTACCTGGAAGCTGTCGGGGTAGATATTCTGCCCTCACGGCCAAACCAAACTGCCCTTCTTGATATCTACTTCAATTACGTCCACCCGCTGTTGCCACTTGTGGATAAGGATCTGTTTTACGAGCAATACAACCATGGCCGAGAACCCAGGATACTAATGCAAGCCATTTGCATTGTGGCATCGAAACACGCAACCGCTGCAAAACACCTATATCTAGGCAATGCTGCTCAGCCAATGAACCCGCGTGAGTTTTCACAGAGATTGTACAATGCTGTCATAGTCGGGATTGAAGCAAAGCTGGAAAAGAACCGTGTCGTGCTCATTCAAGTACTCGCTTTGATATCACTCCACTGCGAAGGACCAGATGGCGCCGAGCAAGCTTCGATGCATCTTGCCCAAGCTATACATCATGCTCACACATTCGGTCTCCAGTTTGGCCATCAGTGGAAAAACCAAAGCTCCGAGTCGCAAGGCAACCTGGAAGATGTCTTTTGGTGTTTGTGGAGTCTTGACAAGATCAATGCTTGCATGAATGGACGTCCTCTGCTCATGCATGACCGAGACAATAGCTTGAGGCAATTGCCATCAGACCCAGAGAAGCGGTCAAGCCCTTTTGGTATTTGGCTTCAGATATCGGAGATGTTGGACAAGGTTATTGATTACTACCGGCCTGGCAGAGCAGCCGAAGAGACGGGTTGGGAAGGTGATGACTTTTTGGGATTCGAGGAAATGGTTGGAGATGGCGAGGACAAACTTGATGGTCCGATTATGAGTGAGTGCTCAAGCTGGTATTGTGTCTATGATATACTGACATGTCCCAGGTCTTTTGTCGCTTTTCCATCATACCATGTGTATGGCTTCACACAAGTCACTTTCGATTAATGCCCCAGTCAAGTCGACACCTTCGTATGTTCGTCAGAGTCTGTCAGCAACAAGAGTCATCCATCTCCTCAATGCCGAATCTCCCGAGCTCCTTCCGCCACTACCTATTGTTCCGTATGCGCTCGGCGTGGCTCTCAGCGTAGTATACCGCCACTTCCGGTCCCGCCGCCTCAAGGTGCACGTCAACCGCGCTACTGAAGAGCTGAAGCAGTGCGTACGTCTACTCGATCGTCTACGTAACGCATGGTGGTCGGCAGGCACAATGGCAGATCTCGGACGAGCAGTCCTCAGCAACGCAGCCGGCCGTAACACGACAACCGCTAACACACCCATGCCCATCACATCTGAGCCCCGTCACCCCGAATCCAAGACTGGTCCCCCAACACCACAGAACCCACAGAGCACTCAACCCCCGTCGTCCAACCAGCCTCAGCACTGGCAACAAGATATGGAAACTCGCATTGATCCCCGGCTCCAACACAACCAACAGTCTCACGCCCATGCAAACTCCCCCATGACTAGCCTTCTAAATCCCATACCACCGACGCCTGGCCAGCACCCGACGAGCAGCGAGCGCGCCGATCGAGCGCCTCTGACGGGTCCTCCGGCTGGCTTTGGTTTCGCAGAGCAATCACCCGACTGGCTTAACTTTGACGCTGCGTTTGAAAATTTTGAGGGTTTATTGGGGAGTTCGGGCGCAGATCTGAGTAATGAGTTGTTTAAGCCGTTGGGGTATGAGACGCTTGAGGGATTTTTGGATCCTGCTGCTTAGTTGGGGAGGTTGGGTTCGGGGGAGTTGCGGTTGTGGCTGTGTATAGGTTTGTGGGTATGAAAACGGGATGGGGTTTCTTAATTAGGTTGAGTTTGGGTGGGTAATGGATTGTGATTATGAAGGCATGTTTGGGTTTAGGTTGGGGAAAGGGGAAATGGATGAATAACAGTAGGGTTAACTATGTGGACTCATGAGAAATATTTCACTATTTTTTAATGTGACTTTTCATTGGCTATTCCTGTCGACACATGTTGTTTACTCAAAACTTTTAGTATCAATCTATGAAGCAAATTCCTACATCATTATCTTTCTTGATACATACCGAGATATGTCTCTTTTCAGCTTGGAAATACAGTATGCAATCCGAGTCCTGGTCAAGATTACATCAACTCTAGATATGTATCTTCACATTATATTCAAGTAAACGCCAAAACATCTACCCGTCTTAGTCAATTGAGCAAGCCACACTATGGAACGGTAGTTTTTATTTCCTCATAGCAAGTATTTTTTTTTAAGTATATCTGAAATACAAACCGAGGTAAAAACATACATGTCCATACATCGGGTTACAGGAAAGCAGGAGATGACATTGGACATTGCACGCAATGAATAGAGGGGAGAAGAAGGACAAGTGAACAGAGTTACTTTACGTAAACGGAGCTTGGGTAGCAGGCTATAGAGAGAGAGAGAGGTGTGCTATTTTCAATAAACTCACGTCACTGATTTTGCATGTTCCGCTCTAAAACTTGCGGTAACGCTGATGGAGATTTGAAAATAAGCATTGTTCACACGGCACTTAGTTCCGAGGCCCTTTTCTTTCACAATGAACCCGAGTTGACTACTATTCTCGTATTTCACTCTGATATTGCAAGGGGGGGGGGAGGTGAGGGTTGAAGATGCACAATAACCGTTGCTGATGAATTGGGGGGGGGGGTTTCCTACTAACAAGCATGATTAGGAGACAGCATACACATGAGATTTGCTAAATCAAGGGCCCCCGTAAGTAAGTTTTGCCAAACCGTACGTACGTACTATTTACCAAACACAAATTGAGTTCACTGGAGTTTTTTTTTCCCTCGCACTTTTTACTATTTTGGGAATCTCTTTTTTTTTCTCGTACAAATTGGTTCCAGCACTCCCCATTTTGCTGACGAGTCCCCCCCCCAAATACGAAAAAAGTACGAGACTTGACTCAACTAACCCCATCACCTTACGCGTTTATAGCTTCTATTTTCTGTCTTTTTTTGGGGGGGAAGGGGGGGGGGGGGGGGGTTGACGGAGCGCCTTTGCGGAGACTTGTTGTGATTTAGAAACGTTACGTACGCGTTACAGTTTTCTTTGATGATGATGATGATGATGATGATGATGCTGACGACGACGACAATGACGACGATGATGCTGAGGTCACGGTTGTTGCCGTTGCTGCCTACGCCTCCGCCTCCGCCAACCTACACCAGCTAACTTGAGGAAGTTTATTCAGAGCCTGAGGCAGGCAGACAGACATACACACACACTACATGCACATCTGAGCTGATGTCTCTGTTCCAGTAACCGCCCGAGTCACAACGCCACGCACCCATACTTGCAACACGAACCTAACAAGGTAGGCCCATTCATAGCGGCTACCCCAATCTCAGCAGCGACCCCAGGTGCCTTACACACCTTTCCGCCTCGCCCATGCATATGTACATCTGAGACACCGGTGCCGAACCTAGCCACCAAATGCTGAAAAAAAAGCGTCTGTGTATAGAGTACGTATGTCGTATCCGTGAACATCCTGTTCGCCCAACCATTGGAAACCTTACGCCGCATCCATGCAGCATGCCGCCAGCGCCTACGTACAGTAGTATGTACGTTACTTTGCGTTATCAAATCCTATTGACCACTCATCACCACCAACAAGCAAGCAATGTAACTAAGTTCCGATTCCCCCATGTAGATTACGAAGCGGAGCAGGTGTGTGTGTGTGTGTGTGTGTGTGTGTGGTTCTACTATTACCAGAGCAGCCGCCCTGGCTAGCTAGCAGCTAGACTAGATACTTGATACATTCACATTACATGCGTATATTCATAGATTCGCAGACGCATTGGTGGTGGTGGGAAAAAAAAACAGTCGCGCGCGCCCTAATGCGGTAGTAGACTTATGTAGACTGGGCGGTTAAGGGGAAAACAAGTTGTTGAGGTTACTATTTTCAGCAACCCGCGCGCACCTCTCCTCCAACCAGCCTGCAACTCCACTCCTCCTTTGATATCCTAACCCCCTTCCCCCCCCACCGCCTTACCTTTTGATGTGGCCCACCACCACCAACCCCCTTCAACCCGCCTTTCCCACCCCCGCAAAAAAAAACGGCAAAACGCCACGAACGTAACGGGGGCTGAAGTTATGGCGTGCAGGATGCGTTATCCATTGCCGCGGGGAGGAGGGGGCGGAGAAAAAGGCGGAAACTTGAGGAACCCCCCCTTGCTTTGTCCACTCGATGGGGTTCAATAAATGTTGACGCTATGTTGTTTCGCCATATGTATGTATCTAAGGGGGAGGCAAAAAAAGAAGGCAGATGCATAGTTCTGCAGATGGATGGACGGGCGTTACGCGCATGGCTGATGTTATACCGGGCGCCTAGTGTACAACAGTAGATGGTGTATACGTTTTTTTTGGCACAGCATCAGCCAGCCCAGTTATGTGTATGGAGGATATGTTGGCAAATGATCAAAACACGCTGATTGGGGACGGGATTCACTCTGGGTCGTCAGGCAGACATGTGCAAATGCGTTGATGGAGAATTCCACTAGCAGCATGTTTTCCTTTACGACATGTGTTCTGGGATAGCGGTTCTGGCTGACAATGGCCGAGTGACGACGGTGTGCTATCATGTTGTCAACGTAAACGCGACTGTCTCTGGTCTCTTACTCAGCTCCGCCCGCCGCCCGTCCGTTCCGCCCATGTTGAAGGGGGACGCCGGTTTCAGATCCGGGTTTGAAGATGCCGACGAAGAGAAAAAAGAAGGTGGAGTGATCGAGAGGCGGCGGAGCGGGTTGCGTTTGGTTACGCCATGGGAAACTCCGACTTGTGAGGCGGGAAGAGATGATACATTTCCCAAGTGGCAAAATACGGAACACGGGGTGGTGGTTTCTGGTTCCGTTGGGGCCCGTTGGGCCGGTGTGTGTGTGTGTGTGGATGTATGTGTGTAATGGTTATTCGCGGGTTACATGGTATACATGGCTAACCAAGCCTTGTTGCGCTTGCTTGCTGCCTGCGAGACAGAAGTTTCGTAGGGTATTCCGTGTAAGGAATAACCCTGTGGCAAAGAAGAAGACGATGGGAGCTGCTTGCAAATGTATCGTCAATGCCAAAATGAGGCGAAACGTGTTACTCACGACGAGCGTCATCCGCCGCTGTGCGCGTGAGCGGTCCGGGAATACGTGGTAGTTTGGGTCCTTTTTTTGCCTTTTTCTTTTTTTGGGATCGCTGGGTTGCAGGGCTGCCCTCCCCAACGGCCCGCCTGACAGACCCTGCGCGACACACCGATTTAGACAAGAAAAAGAGCGACCACGTGAGAAGCGATACACTATGGCGGGTGCACAGAGCCCCGGAATCTCGCCTTTGCCGCAAAGGAAAAAAAAGGTTCGTGCATGCGTGATGGAGAAATGAGGCTGAGCGGGTGACAAGAAAGTAAAGTTTTGGTTGATTCAAGCAAGAGTCACATGCTCGTAGGCAGAAGGTTGATCGAAAGGGGGAGAATGATGGCGTCAAAAGGCGAGCTCACGTGCGCGGGCGACTTGAGATGGTGCTCGATACAATTCATGGGCAGGCGGCCCAACGCTAGACAAACTACAAGGTTGGCGCCTGTAATATGAAATCGCTTATGGCGGCCACGCTCCTTGCGTGGGAGAAAAGAGAGAAGAAAAAAACGCTATGGCGGTGACGTAGAGCTATTGGACTTGGGTGGGCAATATGTCGGCACGACTCTATGAGAATTTTATTTGCTCATGCAACAAAGGGCCGTTGGGAGAAAAGAAGGTGAGAAGAAAGTTATGAAGAGGAATACGCAAACGGAAGGAGTCTTGGCAATAGCTGACTTGGAAGGTGCCGAAGAATGCTAGAAACAGGGCAAGGGGGAATGTTGGCGAGAGAAAGAATCGAGAGATCATCATAGTACATTATGACTGCATAACTCGCCGTAAGTATAATACGATGGTTTTCAGTGGCCCGAAGAGCGTAGTGCTGCTGGGTGCACAGGGCAAATATCGTACACATCATCAAAGGTTGCAAGGGGAGGGAAAGAAGACAATAGAACAGAGGATGGAAAGAAAAAAAGAGGGTCCGCTGGGCCCCCCTAAACCATGAGCTTATTTGCTGGCAGTGAAGCAACAGATAGATTATTGTTTCCTTAGTCATTAACGACGACGATCCGGCGCAACTCCCCTAAAAGAAAAATGGTGCCACTATTTTGCGGCTGGTGGAAATTTGGGACCAACACAAAGGGAACAACATTGTCAAGGTCATACTTACCATGACTTAGTAGTCTGAGCGGCGCGGATGTGCCAATAAAAGCCCAAGAAAAAATAAAAGCGAAGACTATGGTCAAATAATAATTTAAAAGGGCCATTTGGAAGGAACGCCCACGACGGCAGACACCGGAAAAGGCCCGAAAAGGACGTGCCGCCGATCCAATCTTGGGAAGCCAAGAGAGCGAAAGGGCAAAATTTAGGTTTGAGAAAAGTTTGGTTCGGTGATTAGCTGCCGCTGACTAGGAAGGGGGGGGGCACTAGGACACGTGTATGCCAATGGAGAGAAGCAACAAAGCTCACACCCCAATGTGATCTTCGGTGCCGACTAGAAGGAGAGGCCCTTTGTAAGCGAAAGATTTGGGAGTTTAATTTCGAGGCGCCAGCGAGTTGGGTTCCATGGAATCATGGCTTACGCGGGCGATCTTGTGAACCATGGTGGAGAAAGGACGCGGGAGGCTTTCCCTAAAAGTGAGTTTTTTTTTTGGGGGGGGGGGGGATGGCTTTCAAATGGTGAGAATGATGGTTGGCTACGGTGAGTGCAGTGTTGGGGTTCTTGGGACGGTGGGCAAGCCATTGTATCATGAGGCCGATTACCCTGAGGATCCGCGGCCGTACCATTGGCGTGACATGCAAGTGAGCAGTGTTGGGGCGAAAGCGGCTGATGCGATCAAAGAAAAAGTCTATCTGCACACACGGGTTCCTTTCTTTGTGTGTCCAAGGACATGGGCTGCAAAGTTGATCGGAAGGGTCGGGGGTATGGCAGTTTTGGAGAGTGAATAGGTGTATCAGAAATATAGTGATGTGCAGGGTACTGCATCACTTGGCGGGCGGGCGGATATGATGACATTTCTTGTGACTGTTCAGCCGTGTGCGGCAATCATGGCTCAAGACGCGCAAGTCAGTCCGAGAGATGCCCCACTAGCGCCGATGCCATGGTAAGTAAACAGTGTCAGACAGAGAGATGGGGATACAGTAAGCATGGAGCAATACAACGGCCAAACCTAGTGTGTCGGAACAGCTGACTGCCCATGCAGGCAGTCCTTTGGCAACGCACGAGCTGTGTAAGAGTAAAAAAAAGTAAAAACAGAACGCCCCCACGAAGTTTGGTCCAGCCATGGCAGTGGCGAAACGTCAATGCCTGAATGACTAAGGGTTGATCTGACAGGTTTGCGGGCCGACTGTAAGCGGTGTTCCGTGTGGCCTGGGACGATGCAAATCTTCTATTTTATGGCCAAGAATACGAGGCGCAGAGCTATTGTAGTGTATGTACACCTACTAAACAGATGAAGCTATACCGAGAGAACACGGCTACACTGGGTGGCGGTATTAGTGAATGCAAGGTAGGGATGAGCCTCGCCATTACAGTCTGTGTGGCAAGTATCTGTAATCTTTTTAGATGTTTATAATAATAGGCATGTAGTGCTTGGCCAGTTCATGCCATCGGTAGGCATGGTAAGTTAGAGCAGCGCAGTAGCTAGTATGTACATTGTTTGACAAGGAGCCAAGCAAGTAGACGCAAATGGATGGAGAATTAACAATGTCAGTTGGATGTTGCCCATGAATCGAACACGGCATTTTTGAAGCCGAGTGAACATGTTTAGTTTCGCAGACGAGCATCAAAAGGTTCAAAGCATGAGATCAGCCGTGTCAGTCATGAGGTTGGAACTGTGTAAACACTTCTTTTCTTTTGTAAGAAAAAAACAAAGCAACAAGACGCTTTGCGCAAATCAACGAGGCGGGGCCAAACAGAGCACGGCAAGGATAGTAAGATGAGGCTGGACACGTATCTACGAGTGTATCCGGTGACCGTCTAGTTTCTACTCGGATGGAGCAAGTAGATTGGCACGGTGGCTGGTCTCAGTCGACCGGTAGGCGCCACGTCGCAGAATGTACCAGCCATCAAGAACAATGCCGTGCAGACGAGAGGGTGGAGTGGATGTTTTGTTGCTCACACGGCCGCGGTTAGAGTTTGAGGAGGTTAGGAGGTTGACATGGAGGGGGCGGGCTTATTGTCCAAGGGCAGCTATCGATAAGATCAAACGTAGGTACCGGGACTAGGCCAATGACAGCTCGCTTGACGCCATCTGGCGGTGAATGTGTAACTTTGGACAAGTCGACTGAAACGCTCAAGCTTTGTGGAGAAGATATGGCAGGGAGGAGTGCATGAATGCGAATCAGACATTTGCATGGATGGCGTACATGGCTGAAGAGTAGTTTGGGGTGTGTGGAAAGGGGGGGGGGGGGTGTAATGAAAGGGCAGAGGCAGATGACGAGCAGATGCTGATGTTGAACAGTGGTGCATTGGGGGGGATGCATACGAGGCATACTACATGGCTGCAAGTGGTCGAGTGGTACTTAGCACAGTGCAAATAATGTGCTGCTGTGTGAAGAGATTGCTAGCGCAGGCAAGGCAAATTAGCTCCGCGTATACGCTGTGGCTAAGCCGTCACCCACGGCCATGCCCTTGGGAACGGGTCTAGTATGTGACGACAAGACCGACGATATTGTGGCCGTAGGAGCGGCGTGCGAAGGAACAATTTCGCTCATCGATGATCTCCATTGTCTCTGCTCACAGACTCACAGACTCCCGCTCTCGTAGGTTTAGCCAGCCGGGCGGCGGACCTGATTGGCGTCAGTGCCCACGCACGGATGAGGGCGGAAAGCAAGGAAAAAGAATTGGAAGCTGCAGGTGGTTGCACGGGTGGCTCGCTTGCAGACAAGGTTTGCAATCTGGCGGATATGGCAGCTCCTGACGGTTCGTATGCAGACATGGATACGGGGGGGGGGGCTGCTAGAGCGTTGGGAGGATTGGAAGCGGGTATGAGGGGAGGGCAGTGGAAGGGGAGTGAGTGGGTGTAGGAGAGCGAGGTGGAGTGGAAGCAGCCATGGAAGCAAGGCCAGGTGTACTGTTGCGATTCACAGGCGCGGTGGGTGGGCGTGGATCACGACGAGTTGGCGACCGGTATATTGCGCAATGCGCCACGACGGCGACTGGCAAGACGACGACGAATGACCGGTGTGACTGGGACAGCAACAGGGCCTGGAGGGAGGGCGGTGACGGGCAGTGGTCACAGGACAGGGTGGAGGAGGGTGATTGGCACAAAAGTCAGAAATGATGGCGGGTGGGATTGGCTGGGGGAGGGACAGGGTGGAAAATTGTGGGAGAGGTAGGGCGACTTTGGAGCAGGAGCGAACGGTTCGGTTAGTCATTGGCACAGAGGGCAATATGGCAGGCAGCCAATGGCGAGGGGCGAGCGCGGGCAGGCGCGGGCTGGATCGGGCAGCGGCAAGCAGGGCCCAGGGCAGGCGCCTCTCAGGCTGGTGGCCACGGAGGCAGAGGGCGAGCAGCGAGGAAAGGAAGGAGCATGGCAGCGCGAGGGACAGGCCCTGTAGGCTCTGGCGCGATTGAGATTGGAGGCGGCAGCGGGCCTGGCTGGGCTCGAGGGCGTGTGGGCGGTGGTGTGGTGTGGCATGGCAGGACCTGCGGGCGGCATGACAGTCAGAGATGCAGGCGGCAGTGCCGCAGCGTTGCGAGATCGTCGTTTGGACGGGCGAGCATTCGTCATGGGGGCCAGCGCAGACTATCGAACGCCGGCCGTGCACTCGCACTCGCGGCTTTTGACGACGTCGTCAGCCTGGCCGGGCGCTGGCACATGGGCGCCGAGGGCCCCGGCGGCGCTAGGCCGCAAGCAGGCAGGCGGCAGTCGCTCAGCCCTTGGGTGCTTTGGGCCTGGGGCGCGGCGCGGTCGTTTTGCGAGCGCGAGTGGGCCCGGCCAGTGGGCCGTGACGACTATCGAGCGAGGCTTGGGGCTTGGGGCACGGCGGCCAATCAGCGCGGCGGCCGGCCAGGGCGACAGGTGTCCTCGCTGCGGGCTGACGGGCAGCGCAGCGCAAGTCGACGACGGCCACGGCAGAGTGCAGGCGGGCCCCTCGAGGCTGCTGCACTTGTCGCGTCGAGCCCCCGCTGCTGTGTGTCACCCTCGCCCTGCTGACGGCCCAGCTGATTCGCCCTTGGCCACAGCCTGGGCCAGCCGCCATGATTCACACCCTCCCACCCGGTAGCTGCATGCCGGCCTTTGTTGGACCCCCTAGCCTCCACCGCGCCCGCCTGGACTGGCCACAGACGGCCCACGCCCTGCTGCTGCGCCTGCTTGGACCACCGCTGCCCCGGCCACCAGCCAGGGTGCACTGCTGCGCTGCACCACTCGACAGGCGCCAGTGGATCCAGACGTTAGCCTGCCTGTGCGTCCGTGTGCCACTCTGTGTGTGGGTGTGTGTGAGTGAGTGAGTCTGAGGGCAGCGACGACTGTGGGCGATGGCGCATATCCGCCTGCACTCGCTCTGTCGCCCCATCCCAAGTCGTCATAGCGCCCCTCCTTCCCTATATTTACCAGAGACCGGGGCCACCCGCCTGGCCAATCGCCGCCCGCGCCCGCCCCAGCTCGCCTCTCTTTATCACTGCTGCCCAGCCGTGCCCATACACATACATCATCCCGCCTCACACTTTACATACACACCCTCCTCCGCTACTACTTACTACCTCCTCCCACAACAACAACAACATCAACAAACATCCCTTCTCCTCCCTCTCCTACCCCCTCTCCTCAAAACACCCTCACACTCCCACTCTCATATACACCCACACACCCACACCCACACATTCACATTCCTTCGCAAAACAAAAAACCTTTGCGCTCCTGCTGCGCCCTGCCAAAAGGTTCCTGCCCAACCACCATCGGACAAGTCACGTGACTTGCCTCTTCCGGTTGACTCACCAACAAACACATATCCTTTTTATAATAGCGTCTTCTTTCCAGTCGGAGCCCTCCGTCCAGGATTTCTCGTTGCCTCTTCCCTCCTCCCGGACAAGGCCACTCCACCGCTCTTCCCGGACTCTCCGCTGATTCTGTCCTTGAGGCCTTGATTGGACCTGCGAGGACTCTTCCACTCTTCCATCCCAACCATTAACATGTACCCGACGCCCCCAGCTTCTCCCTCCCAAAATGGATTCTGCGCGCCGGAAGATCGCCTAGGCCAAGTCCTGGCTGGACGCCTCCAGCTGACTGGCGTCCTCGGTGTTGGAGCCTACGGTGTCGTCTACACGGCCGTCGACATCCAGACCAACATTCCCTACGCCGTAAAGGCGCTCAACAAGGTTGGTCTTGAGCCTCGCCAAAGAAAGTTCCAGCAGCGTGAGATCCAGCTGCACCACCAGGCCAGCGCCCACCCCAATGTTGTCTCGCTCGTCAAGATCATGGACGCGCCCGACTGCACCTACGTAGTTATTGAGTACTGCCCAGAGGGCGACCTCTTCTCAAACATCACCGAGCAGGGCAAATACGTTGGTAATGATGCCATGGCCAAGCGCGCCTTTCTCCAGGTTTTGGATGCCGTCGAGTACTGCCACTCCATTGGAATCTACCACCGGGACCTCAAGCCGGAAAACGTTCTCGTCACTGACCAAGGAATGACCTGCAAGCTTGCCGACTTTGGACTCGCCACCACTGACCCCGTCACCTCGGACTTTGGCTGCGGCTCGACCTTTTACATGTCTCCAGGTAGGTTTTTTTTCCAACCATGTCAACACGCAACAAGTCACGTGCTAACTTTTTTTTGCACAGAATGCCAGACATCATCACCCAAGCCTTACTCATGCTACGCATCGGCTCCCAATGATGTCTGGAGCCTTGGTGTCATGCTCGTCAACCTCACATGCGGCCGCAACCCATGGAAGCGCGCCTCATTTGACGATAGCACCTTCCGTGCCTTCATGAAGGATCCCAAGTTCCTCAAGACCATCCTTCCCGTCTCTGACGAGCTTGATGCTGTTCTGAGGCGCATGTTTGAGTTCAACCCAGCCAAGAGGGCCACTATTCCCGAGATCCGCGACATGATCATGCGATGCTCGTCCTTCACGGCCACCAAGTCGGCCGTTTCGTCGCCAATGCCCACTCCTTCGTTTGGCCCAGTCGATTACGCCCAGGATCCCGCCTACAACCAGTACTACCAGGCTCCCGCCGTCCCCCAGTTTGCTCCTCTGCCTGGCTCAGCTTACGCCCCATCGCCCTTCCAGTCGTCGACCTCTTCGGGAAGCTCAAACTCTGACGGCGAGTCCGTCTTCTCTGCTTGCTCGTCGGCCTCGTCGGCCTCTTCGAACTCGTCATACCACGTCTCGCCGTCGCAGCTTCCCAAGTTTTCTTCGCGCGTTCCTCAACCCCAACAATACGTTTCCCCCCAACCTCCTGCCAACACCTGGTTCCAGCCTTTTATCCAGGCAGCCAACCTGGTCAAGCACGTCTCCTTCCAGCCTTCGATCATGGCCCCGGTTCACGTCTACTAGACTGCTCTTCTTCTCCATGGCCTCACCCATGGACCTTTTTGCTTACGAATACGCTTCTTGTCTATGTGTTTATACTATTTTCGAAAAGTCATGATGAGATGAAACAGCCATTGATTTCTCGTTAGGTGTTGGGGTGGATTGTTTTTCTTTTCTTTTCTCATTTTTTTCCACCGCTTTACAAAATTAGACCAGTACGGGCAAATTTCTGGTCTTCAACATTAGAATTTTCTGGCCGCGATGGCTTAGCATGTTTAACTCTGTCAACCAGCCTTGATGGCATAGAGTCTGTTTCTTCGGCTACTTCCAATGGGCTTTTGCCACAAGGGTTAGGGAGTGGGTATTTTTTGGGCATTTCTCGGAGTTGTCCCTGTTTGAGCGTTGGGCTCGTCGAAGCCCTCGCTCTATTACGTTCATTTAACTTTTCATATCAAAGATACCAGAGCGAAATAGCTCAACAATGTACGTTAGTAGGTCCCAAAAAGAAGGACAAGCACAATTTGCCTCGAAGCAAACATCCAAATGACAAAAAAACATATTCAATGGCGTCTGCAGCAATAGTTGCAGGCGACCAGCCAAGAGCAAGCCACTTTCTTCCAACTTTGCAATCTTGATTGTGACATGTGTCTATCTCTTTTGACATGCAACACTGTCCATGTCCAGCTCTCCTCTGTCGTTGCAGTCGTAGTCGTCGACTACTGGTCTCCATGACACTAGCCCACGTATCCAGCCCACTCGAGTCAAGGTGCCACAACGCATCAATCTGCAACCTCCCCACCACGATTCTGCATCCAGCCCAAAGCACACATGAACTAGTGCGCAAAATCAAAATGGCCTCCAACCACGGCCCTAGTCTCTCCACCATCGAAGCTCCACGCCCCGGCCGTCGTCCGTATGCATCTGCAAAGTCCCCATGGCCGTGGATGCAACCGGCCTAGCGCCAACAGCAAATCACCGGTTCCACTACGGCATGAGGTGTGCATACATAACCTTCTGCGTGATGACCATGTAAGTGTGCAGTAGTCTGTCTTGACTTGTTGCGCCTGGTTGGCTCGAGGCTGCGCCCTGTCTTGTCCCCTTGGCCCGGACAGGCTTAACGCACATGCCCAAAGGGATGAATCGCAGATGGCTGTCAACGGATATCAGACGCAGGTGTTGAGGGGACGGTGGTGGGGCGATTGATGACTACATTGCGGGATCGAGACTCCTTGGTTGGGGCTGGACTCTTCTCAGTACTAGTGTTTTTTTTGACTTTGGCGCCCTGGCTCTTGATTTTTTCTTTGCCCTTGGAGCAGGTGTTTGTTGGGAGAGAGCAGCCGCCCAACCGGCCGCCGCTCAGGCCACGCGATGTTGAACCATGTGCATGTCAAGACGTTTTGTCAACAACAACAACAGTGTACACGCACTCTCTTTACTCATGTCTGATAAACATACATGCTACACACACACACATACAAAGACAAGTCTCTAGTTGCATGATCGTCCGCAAGCACCTGATTCCTGATGCTTGTTGCCTTTTCAATATCCGCAAAAGAAGTAAACGACACGTAGGCAGCAAACAGTGAGCAGGTTTCAGTCATACCAACCCTCACTCGTTGCAAAAGGGGACTCTTTGTCTCTCTATCTTGCTCGCTCATGCTTGATGCCGGGTCAGCTGCCCACCATGGCTGGCTGGCTGGTTGGCTGGTTCCCGAATCAACCACCAAACATTCCTCAGCTTCCGTTGGCCTTGTGTCGTCTCGGCTGTCGGTCCTTCTCAGCCACATAGCGCGTCGCGTAGAAATGTACGTACGCCCCTGTATGTACGTATGGATGTGTGTGTGTGTGTGTATGTATGTATCTACCTACATGTACCTTGACCCGCAGAAGGGCGTCACCGGAATCGCGATGGGCCACCGTTAAATCACTTTTTTGTTTTGGCGGCAGCCAATCCCCATCGATACAACCGAGAGCGGATGACGAAGAAAAAGTAACAAATGTCACGTGTCTCGGGCCTGCAAAATCAGCAACACCGTTGGTTGACGTGCAGCCTAGCTGGCTGTCAAGGGCAGCAAGTGTCTAGGCAGAGCTGGTGCCAAGCCGCGCGGCTGGAAAATTGAGTCTGCCAGTCCATTCACCAGGCAGCCTCTTGTTCCTTCTGCCGCTAGCCCATACGAAGAAATGCCTCAATCTCATCCTTTTGCATCATCGCAAATCATCTCGCAGCCACCATCGAGGTCTGCGCATGCACCTTTTCTGTTTCTCCCCATCCTATGGAGCCAGCTGTGCAAATCCGGCCATGACTTTTACAGCTTATATCGCTAATTTGCCGAAATCAGGTGCACAGATATTGTCCCGATCAAGGCATCATGTATTGATTCGCTGGATGAATACATACACACACACACGTCTACAGGCATCCACTTTTGTCTCTGACGCTCGCTCACCGAGCAACAGCAATGTCACCCAAAACGACGATGCCACGATCCGAAGGAATGGCCTGGCCCCTTCAACGGCTCAAGATCTACACATGCTATCATCACCTCGTAATTTCGAATCCATGTCTACGAAACAAACCCTAGAAGGCGTTGAGACCTCGCTCCACACAATCCTTGGTTAAACGCTGAAGACTAACACGATTCATCGCCACTCGCCTAGACATTCCATGTGCCCTTTACCGTGCTTGCATATCCTTGATTTTTTCCGAAGCCGCCGCCTGTTCGTAACGACTTTCCATTGTCCCCATTCAGGCTGCCTTGTCCCAGCCACAAAAACGCCTCGTTTTGCTTCTTTGGTCAAAGCAAGATCCATCAGCGTGTGCCTCGCTTCTTGTCACGCGGCTGCTTGCGGGTCAATCCTCGCAAGTGTCCTCGGACGTGGCAGACCGCACACCGGACACCTTCTTTTTGACTAGGGATTGCTACCTTTGCTCAAAAGTAAGGACTGAGCCTTGCGCAGTAAGCTTCGTGGCTGTTTGCCCCTGTGTCACGGTAATACGGGAAGCCGTCATTTGTACGTACACGTGCCCGGCTGGTCGGGTCTGCATACTGGTCTTGTAGATAGTATCTGTGCTGTGCTTTGGAGCCTAATGCTTGGTGTCTAGGCTTTCCTTTTGAATCTGGGGCACGGCCTCATCCCGTGAATCATCCCTTCATCAAGGGCTAACACCTTGACAGCACATGTGCATGGTTGTGCGGCTGTTCATGTGCTACGAGCAAGTGGTACTATGCTCAGCAACCGAGTTGATTTGAGCATAGTCGACGCTCGTCTTCTACCACGTTTTGACCAAACTTGGCAATTCTTTGCATTAGGCACGGAACAATCACACTATGCAATGTCTCATGAACGGCTCATGCCAAACACCTCACCCTGCTCGCAGTTGTACGTAGATCACCACGCTTCGTCTAGGTCGAGAGGCTTACATTTTTGTTTGCTACACAAAGAAAAGCATGCCAATGGCACATGATGGTTACACAGCCTGCCTCAAAGCCGCCGTTCAGTCTCCTCAGCCACGCTAGAGTAACATTTTACAAGAAGATCATATCGTTGATCAGTCATGGCACAAATCCCCCACACCTAGCACAGCGTGGTGCCAACTGTCAGCATGTGTCCGGCCCCGCCATATACTAAGAATTGCTCTTTCTACAAAAGCCATTCATAGATTGCTCGGGTAGTACAGTCATCATCTCATATGGCTGGCTACAGAAGAACGCATACCTTTGTGCCATGTCGGTGTACCACTGCGTTTGAGCTTGCTACATCCCCCACACGTACGACTGAAGGGATTGGTTCTTACACCTTTCCAATACATGCGTAAATCATAGGCCGGGAAAGGCATGTGGTAAATCGGCAACGAGCAGCAAGCGACAGCCCATTGTTCCATGCCTAAGTAGAACTGCGCACAAGGAGAAGGAGCATGGAACTGGCAGGTGGCGGGCGTTCCGAAGCGTATGTGCACATGCACTTTATTACCCATTGAGTAAATCACTCGTCCGGTCAGTTTCATCGTCTGCTGTACGGCCTTGACCGGCGTGACGGCTGAAAATGGGCTCCCTTTGCACATCCTACAAGGAAACGCTCTCCGGGCCAAGCGCCTACCAATACGACCATGTTTGCCTTTTGCTCGCTCGGACAATGAAAACGACACCCAAAACCCATGAAGCTGGTACCCTACGCAAGGCTGCATGATCGGTCATCAGCACAGGGCATTGGGCATGAAGAAGCGTCGGCCATCGTTCACTCATGCCAAGTGTGTAACGCTACGGGGTGCGACCTGTCTTCTCTACAACCCATGTTGTTGACTAGCTTCATCGACTTGACGCGTTAAGCGCACTACTACACAGCTAATTAGTATTCCGAAGGCCGTTATCGTCGATATGGCCACCAGCTAACATGTGCGGTGGTGCCCAAGTATGGGATACTGCAGGTACACCGAGTCTTGCCGAACCCGTGAGACATGCGGTCAAGAGCGAGAACACGGTACGGAAACGATTCGTGTCCCTTGGATCGGCAAAGAAAAGTGCTTATGGAATCGGCAAGAAGTGGGTTTTGGCCGACTCGCATCTGTAGCGAAAGAAGAATGTGTCGACCGGGAGTCTCCGACATGTGCTTCCCCAGTCTGCACCTATCCTAACACCCCTCACATGTCTCTCTTCACTTCAATCTCCGAACTCGTACGATTTACACTCCAGGTCCACAAATCCAACGCCGTTATCGTGCTCCGCTACCATCACTAACAGCCAAACTAGTACCCCACTGGCGCAAATAAAACCACACCATGCTTTTTGACCCCATCCACAACTTTGAGCACCACTAACAACTAGCCTCCCCCTAACATTTCCGAGAGAGACAAAAAAAGCAAAGGGACCCTTCAGCCTCCGTGGAGAAGGCAAGAAAAGAAACAGCCAGTCTGGATCAAGTTTCTTTGACCAACGTCTCTTTTCCAATTCAACCCTTACGTATTTCCGCGGGCTGAATATTCTCCTCACCCCCGCGGCGCCCAAAAAAATAAATTAAAAGTAAACTACGAAAAATTACAATGGGAGGCATGAATCATGAATAAGTGAGAAGAAAAAGAAAAAGAAAAGAAACCCTCAGCAACTTTGACTTCGCGTCCCCATTTCCATCCCCCACACCATCATTATCATCATCAACATCATGCATCAGAGAATTCGTATTCCAAACTTTTTCACCTACGCTTAGATTAGCAACCAAGAACCCATCCACACTCAAAGATTAGTACGCGACGGAAGATCGGGACCGAAAATCGGGGGGAGGCCCTTGGCCGTTTTTTTTCTCCCCTTCGTGGGACCCGAAGGCCTCCTAGCTGCATATGCTGTGTTGCCGGCGCGACGCTAGGGTGGAGCGAAGGGTGTTGCCCCTTCGTTGCCCCGTCAAATAACGGCGGGTTAGCCATTAGAGGGGGGGGGGTGAGGTTCCAGACTGTGGCAAAGTTATTGATTTCGAGGTCGAGACCAGTCTTTGCACTATGAAACGGGAGGAAGAAGAGAGTTGAGCTGAAGGTGTGGTGTTGTGATGGTGGTTAGTTCATGCAGTGGCGAGAGTGTAAAGTGTTGGAGGATTTCCGCGTACTATTTACAAGATTCTGAATGCGTTGGAAATGTGTGTAGAAGAAGGATATACTTGACTGGATTTACTCTTTGCTCATCATACGCCTTCGCCATTCCAAGTACTCGATATACTCTGATCTCCATATTCTCCTTCTTGATTGATCCTCTTCTTCCTAAGCTCCATCCCCCTTCTCGGGCCCCCTTCAAACTCGAAATCCCCTTACCCATCCGCACACAAATGTCTCTCTCTCTCTCTCTCTCTCTTTTTCCACCAGCCTTAACAACCTCACCCCTCCCCTCCTAAATCACCACCCCCCTCCGCCCCAAGCTCAAAAGCCCTAGCTCTCATCTCATCAAACCCTTCCAAAAAAACGCACTCACTCAACCACGCTACTTGATTACCCCTCCAAACCCACCACTACCCACCCTCATCTTCCTGCATTTAAAAAACCCCGGTCCCATGAAGCCGCTCCCACCTCAACCCACTCTCCGCCTCAGTGTGGAGAGAAAAAAAAAGTTTATTTTACCCTTAAACGCCCTGTAAATGCCGGCGAAACGCCATTAAAACGAGGAGCACATGCCAGAACCCCTCCCCTCTTTTTTTTTTACCGCAGATCTTCCGTCAGAAGAAGTATTCAGGTTGAGAAATGGATATAATAATCAGCTGGATGTGGTGCGGTGTTTAATATTGCGAGTCGAGAATCACTAGAATGCGTTAGTATGTTGCCAGAGGGGGGGGGGGGGGAAGGGTGTTAAGCAAATTATATACTCCACACATACACATGTATGGGATAGCGAGGTGACTGATACAACGGTATGCGAATAGTGATACTAGGCGTTGTGTTCGATGTTAGTCTTGAGCAGTGATGGCATGTGTAAGAATAGAGGGGGTGGGTTTGGAAGGGTAAATGTAGTCGGGATTATAAAGGGATACGTGGGCATTGGGGGGAGATTTTGATTGAAGAAGAAGGGGCGTGAACGCGTTGATGAGACTGAAAAAAGGGTTGGTGTTTGTAGAAGTGAAGTGGAAGGAAAGGTAATCGTGGGGAGGATGATGGAAAGGGGGGGGGGAGTGAGTGTCTGTTACTCACTGAGGATATCGGGTAGTAGTTACCTAACAAGTTAGTAATTCATGTCAGAGTTAATACGCTGTTGTCCTTGGTCGAAAATGCGAGAGCCTTGGTGTTAAGCTACCGAGTCTCTCTCTTTTTTAATCCCTTGTGTTGAGAAAGCGTGCTTTCTGTTTTGCTTGAGCAACGTTGTTTTCGTTGGAATATGGTAGTGCGATGAGGGAGTGAGTGAAAGATCAAGAAGAATTCAATAGACAATGATACACATATATTGAGGACATGGTAACACATACAACAGGGACCTCTTATAGAAGATGTCAACTATGATTATCATAACCAATATTACGAAATATTTGTCAACTTGACCTATGTCTCTATCCTTTCATGCCGTCAACGTTTCATTCTGAACGACGAACATCTCCAGTTACGAATGATCAATAACACATTATCAACTGCTATTTCATATCTCTTGTTTACACATATATTCAACACAAAATCTCTACTAACGCGCTGCTTTACTAATCTCCACCGGAAACTTCTCAAGACTCTCATACCACTGCAGTGTACTCCCAATCAGGAACGCCCAACTACCCCAAAAGGTACTCAGACACGCCTGATACTGCGCCCAACTACTGCTATCATATCCAAACGCCGGACACAACGTGAACCCCACACCTCCAATCAGATTCAACGCCCCAATCCACCAGCCGAGTGTCCGAGGCGCTGGTTTCCACCATGTAGGTTGCGTTTCGATCATAAACAGAAACCCAGAGATGATAAACCCCAAACCACCTACAACCTGCGGCGTCCAGTAAAAAACAATCGTAACCGGCTTTGACATCCTATCATAAATCCCCGGCAGCGCCGTAAACCCGGCAACCCAAAAAATCGTCGCGCCCGCAAACTGCGCCAGCGACGCCAAAAACCCTAGATTATGAACATAATGCCTCCGCAACTCTTCCCTCGCCGGCCACCAAACCCACTTCCTTCCCTCCGCCTTCTCCACCTCCCCGCACTGCTCCTTTCTCCTATGCGCATGCAAGCACGCCCCCTTCTCCACCCTCACCCCCGCGCCCTCGTCCCCCTCCAACACCCTCTCAACAGCCCAGCCAAAACACCCAGACCGTCCTTGATTCACCGCCTCAACAAGCAACAGCACGGAACCCACCTCAAACACCGTAGCCCCGATAAACGCCGTTATCCCCCCGCCATACAAGCTCTCACCCGCAAACCCCGTCTCCGGTCGCACCAAAGGTAAAAAGACGAAGAAAGCATTGAGGATCCAGAGAATGCTGCCGAGCGTGAATATGTATGCGATGAGGAACGATAAATCCCAGATGGGGTAGTAAGTCGCCATCTTCCACATGTTGGCTAGAATGGGGTGGGCGGAGGAGGTGGGGCGCGGAGTGGTGGTGTTGCTGCTGCTCCCTGTGGTGTCGGAAGTGTGGGGTTGGCTTACGGAGAGGGCGTGTCGGCCTTTGCGGTCGTTGCGCGAGGTCCATTTGAAGCGGATGTTTGGGTGGGAGTGGAGGTGGTAGTGGGCTTTTGTGGGGTTTAGGAAGGGAAGGGGGCCGGTTATGCGACTTGGTACTGGGTGGAGTGTTGCATTGGGGTCTATGGGTATGTGTGCGGGATGGAAGGTTTCGTTGCGCTTGGGGTTGTGTGGATTTGGTGGTTTCATGGTTAGTTGGGCTGATGCTGGGCGGGAAGGCGTTGCGGGGCTTGTCAACAGTTGGAATGAATGTACTTTTTACATATGGTGGAGTGATTGTTCATGGTTATGGCAGCGTGGAAAAGTGTCGTAGTGTACGTCAGTGCATCACGTGAGAAAAGAAGAAGTTGAGGGTTATATCCGCTAGTACTAGCTACTATCTCCGATCCAACCACTGTGTAAGTCTTGGGTTCGATTGTTCCAATTTGTATTGCTAAGTGCCAAAACACCTATGAACCTTCAACAAGGGTGTAATCAGGCGTGTTATAACCTTTTTTTTTGACGTCGAACCTTTAAAATACATATTTACACGTACAGAGACCAATCGTCTCATGTACGACAAACATGACCAAACTCGCTCACTACTAAGGAACGACCAAACTATGCTTTTGTATCCTCGAAGCCAAAACCCACACAGCAGCCAGGTTAAGATGAAAAACAATATCCCCAGTGATACTCGTGAATAATATGCCAAAGTCAAATTGGTATAGTAACAAACAACAAGCTCAAAACTTCCCAACAATATTATGACAATAAGAAACAAATAATTCCGCTTATTTGATTCCAAGTCGCCGCATAAACAGAGAAACGCCATCGTTAATCATACACGTCACTAGTCATACAAAACCATACCAGGTCCAGCCCATGTTGAAAGCATTATCCTCCACAATACCAACCCCTGTGATAGTATAATTAGTTCTTCTTCCCCTCCCTTTTCACCTTCTCCCTCTCACTAATCTTCAGCCCCCTAACCAGTTGCCGTGTCATTATCCTCGAGAGCTCCTTGGTATAATCCTTCATCCGCATGTTCGACTTCTCCTCCTCAGTCTTCCCCTCATACTGCTTTTCGCTGTACGGGGGTGGCGCATTTGTATACCGCGCATACTCTTCCTCGATGCGCTGGAAGTTTGAGTGGTTGGAGGAGCTGGAGTTGGATCGGGACGAGTTGGAGACCGGTGAGTGTGTCGATGGAGACGGGAAGGAATGGTACGAGTAGGACTGGCGCTCAGCGGAGCTTGTTGTTTGCATGGTTGATGAGCGTTTGCTTCTAGTTGAGGTTTTGCCGACAGAGGAGACAGAGTCGTGGCGTGATGATATTCTTGATGATGGAGTTTCGCGTTCGTTGACACTGACCGTGGGATAGTGGTCCATGTTCTTTTATTAAGGGGGCAGTGAGGTCTGACTGGGTGGACTGGGTGGTGAATAGGGAGTCAAAGTCAGCAAGCAAGGGGGACTCTTCAAGAAATAGGCAGCCTGCTTGTCAGCCTCACATATAAATGTAGGATCTAGACCCATATGCGATGATGCATATCGAAGACTCAAAGCGGCTGCCTACATTCCCATCCCAACAGTTACGATATGGATGGCACAGACGCTGGACAAGCCTGCAAGTCATACCACACCCCTCGACGTCATTGCAGTGTGGTAAAAGCCAGCCACCCTTGGTCCATCAAGGTCCAGAAGGGGTAATGATGGGTGGCCAATCAAGGAGATGATCGGTGCAGCGACTGAAATCCCTCTTGATTGTCTCGGCGGAGGACAGGGCTCGGGCTCCGCGGTGGCTGCACGCAACAACGGAGCGGGTAGCAAGTTATGGGGTCGTTGGCGAGGTGACGCTGGGATGCATGGTCGGTTGCGGAGAGGCGTACGCGAAGCGAGGGAGGTGTGGCGTTTGTGGTGAACGGGGCCGATGATGTCACTCATCACGCTCACCCGAGCCGTGTCGCACACTCAAGACCTGAAAAAAACTGAGCATGTGGATCGTAAGCTGAAACAAGCAGATCAAGGGCAGATGTTGGGTATCTAAGAGAACAAGCCCACGGCGCGGACAACGCGCATAGAGTGACGCGAGGTCGTGTGTGCCATGACGAATTTAAGATGACATGGTGTGCACAAGGGAAAGCAGGTACCAGTACCGACCTCAACGAACTGATCCTACGCCCGCACCAGACCCTTGAACACATCCCTGAGTTTTCCCATACCCCGTGACCGTTTAGAGTGGCTCCTCTGTCGCTCCACCTCAATCTCCGTTGGTGCGTTGAAGTTCCCGCTTATTCTCCTCATTTCGCCTTGCGATTTGTAGTGCGATGACGAAGCTGTGTAGTAGGATCCAGCTGAGGAAAGTCTCTCTGGGCGATCTGCGTGGTCCCCATGATACGAAGATCGCAGGTATGCAGAGATCAAGGCTTGTTGGGGCAGTTGCTCGATTTCCGATGGCGACAGTACCCGTGGTGAGGTTGCTGTTTGAGACTGGTGCGACTCTGCGCGCTTTCGAGTAAAAGACGTGCGATGCCCAAGGTGTTGACTAAGACCTCCTGCGATATCACCCACAGACTGCCTTGCTGGGTCGAGTCAGAGATCGAGATTATGCATATGATGGGCGGTGTGTACCTTCACGATGTCGTTGCTCTTGCATACTCCGTCTGTCCATCTTTGGACTTTTGCCTGGACAGCTGTCGATATCTTGTGATATCTGTAGTTTGTAGATTCAATTCTCAGTTTCAGTGGGCATAAGAGAGAATGCGCGACACTCGAGTGCTCAACCAACTATGACAAGAATCCATGACAAGTCCTGGAAACCTAAGGCTTTTGGGCAAGTACTGCCCTTCCATACTTAACCACACAGCCCTTCATTACCATGATCCTACCAACGTCGTGCTTAACGGGGTCTAACGTCATCGACTCGACTCCAACTGAGACGAATAGCAAGCCAAGCCAAGCCAAGCTCGCCTTCAACCAGCTTGGCTGCTTTTGATATTCTTCCGTGGTTGCCTCAAATGCGATACAATCTGGTAGTATCGGCGTCATCTTGAAAGCCGCAAGTTCGGTTGAAACGGATGCTTGGTGATATGAATGGTGGGTCTGCATGCAGGGCAACCTTAGCGGTGCAAAACAGAATATACGGTGCATGCGAGGCCACCAGCACATGGCTGTGAAGACGATCTCAAGGCGAACATTCTGACGAGTGATGTTTGTACGGAGTAACTAAGGCGAAAGATACGATGAGCAGTCCGGTGGCGGTGAGGTTCGACTGCGCCTTGTGAGGCTTGACGGTTTGCCTGACCACGACTGAGCCATTAGGCCGAACTCAACCCTCAAGGCAACCATCGAGCGGACAATCTGAAGGAGGCGCATGTTAGGAAAAGTGTAGATCTTTGCAGCCCGAGGGGAATGGAATGGCATTGCAATTTCTAGGTGTGATGCAAAGGGTCTTTGGGCGAGGAGATGATAAGGACAATAAACGCACAAGAGGGCCACCCAAGTATCCGGAAGCATCATGTGATCCAGCAAATCCCAAAGGTAATGCCGTACTCTAGGGAGTTGCCGTTTCGGCCTCCTTTCATATCAACCAAATAAACTAGAAACCAACCGGAGCCCACATGCTGGCCAGAGAACATCGAGTCTTGTTTCATCCCTCAAATGTACAGGGGGTGGTGCACGAGGGTGTTCGGGAGGGTTCATCTTTCGCTCCGCTTTGCTCAAACATCCATGCAACCCCCAGTCCCCTTCTGCACAAGTCCCAAAGTGGCAATGAATCTTGCTGACCATATCCATTTCCATACTTGCATTGTTGTGCTCATGTACACACACAGCACAAGCCCCGACTCCAAACACAGCAAAGATATTCTTCTCGCAACACCACGTCTGCTATTCTATGACACATATGCTACACCCTCTGTTAGTTCTTTTACTATTAAATATAGTATCGTATAGCTAATAGTAAATACCCTAAGCCTATGAGCGTGCGAGCTAAGCCAACGCGCCTTTGTGTGGCGCAGCAGAAGGCCGCGACTGGCCTGACCACCATTGCCGTCTCCACCTAGTGGGGGTCTTCCGAGATGACGATGCGAGATGTAGCTGACGCGGTGCTTGCACTCTAGGGAACTGGGCGAGCGGAGGAGAGACCTCTTGAATCAGCCAAGGGTGTAGATTTTCTATTAAATGGGAAAGGGGCATAGCCGCCATGATCATGTCGTGCCCTGTAACAAAAGCCTTCAATACTTTATTTGTTTTTTGGGGTGCTTCAAGAAACACCAGAAGCTTCGATCAAAAAAAGACTATACGACCTACCTCTTCACGACATTGGGTGTAGGGTGACTATACTTGCTTCTTAAGTTTATGATATAGAGGTACGTAACGCTGCTGGTGAGTAAATTGTCAATTTCAGACGTATAGCCTTGGTTCCGACTTGGCCGGCGTACACGCTCAGTGTTCTGGATTCTGGTAAGCATCATCCCTAACAAGCGCCGTTTCTAGGGTAAACGTACCCCGTGATACGTACTCCGAATCACGCCGACCGTACGCAGACACTAAGCGGAACCTCAGCTGAACAGCCCCCCTTCCCACCAAATATACACACATACCGCCGCCTGATCCTCCTGGAATCATCAACCAACATAGAAAGTCGAGCACATACCTTTCACAAGTCCTACCACCACAGTCGCTACCGAACTTTGCTCGTGTTCTATCCACACCCCCCGCATAATAATCGCCGACCCGCGCCCGTAGATAAGGACTACGATCATCACACACAATCACCCAACATGGATGCACTTCCTGATGCCTCGCAATCCACCTCATACAGATGCTCGACGCCTAGCACGCCCGACACACCCGTCTCGCCCGCATCTTCGACCACAAGTTCGTACTTTAGTTCGTCCTCGTCCGGTGAGCCGCAGGTCCCGTTTCAAATCATCGTTACGTTCGACGGCAAGGTGCGCGAGATGCTGCGGATAGAGCGGGACGAGAACTCGCCTATCCAGGCACCCAGACCACGAAAAGCACCTAGGCCGAGATACTATGCAAGGAACACAGAGTAGAGATAGAGTGGCGGTAGGGATCAGTCAGCGAGGGCGGAACGGTTTGGATGGGGCGAAAAAGAAAAAAGGCGTTCGATGATTGGAATGGATTCACTATGGCGTTATGAAAAGGAAAGGAATTTGTCGCTTGCAGTGGCTATAAAGGATAGTTGGAGCCAACAGGCCTGAAACACGTTAGCAGTCGTCAAGAAGAATGTGGGGTAGGCTTTTGTTCGAGATTTATAATAATTGAAGATTATTTTGCTTGGAAGTTATAAGCACTGCATCGATCACCTTGTCTTCTAAGAGTATCGCAACCGTCATGTCCTTTGTGTCGTTGCCAATGCTCTCTGTTCCAGCACTGGAGTTTTAGTGGGATGAGGGTTGGACGAGAGCAGGAGCACTCGTATCTTTTAGCGTACCTTCCACGTGGGACAGAACTACGAAATGATGAGCCGCAATTTCGTGAGTCTCTCCATTAGTACGTATCATATTAATCATCAAACACTGGATAAAGGAAAAGTAGAAACACCGTTCATGATAATATCCTACACTTGATGCACCAGACGGTATGCGCATTTTCGCCTTCAAGAACATCCATCCATCCATCCCTTCCCCCCGTTGAAAGATTCGCCGAGCAAATGCTATTCTACAAGAATGTGCAGAAGACATGACTAGTAAAGCATCTCCGTGACGAATAGAAACACTCAACTCGACCCCGAAGAACTCCGTGCTTTTTTTTACCGTGACCAAGACAGAAAATGATAGCGGCAATCCCGAACATCGTCCTTTCCAGTTCATCATTATATCCGTGTCCGTTTCCACAGGATCATCATTACCCACTGTTTGCCAGCCAGCCCAATGGAGTCGTGATCCCGTAAGTAGCCGAGAAATGCCAATGACTAGGAAGGAAAGGTATTATGAGAAGAAGAAAAGGAAGACCGACCCTGACTAAGGTCCACATATTGCCTATGACCAGAGTGCGCTGGTAAATGCAGTGGCGGAAGATTATTGGTGCCTCTTAAATGCACTCGTGGTGTGAACGTCGAGATTCGGCCACCAGCCGACTAAGCTATTGGGCGTGGGCTCTGTTGAGCATGCGTGAAGAGAGCATTGAGAAGGCGTTCGACCTGGAAGGGACAATGAGTTAGTATGATTCAACAGACAATTTGTAAGGAATCTACGTACTTCAGGCGCCGCCTTAACGAACGGCAGCTCCCAGAATGCATATGTGCGGTTCTTTAGAATTTCCAGCAGCGTGATGATGAGCCCCCATGGGTGCGGGCGGTGAACCAACAGGCGCTCCAATAATACACGGGTGATAGTCTCTTGAATCTCCGATGCCAGCGAGTCCTCGCTTGGGGGTCCGAAGAGGTGCAGCAGCGCATAGCTGTAGAAGTGAGTATGCGTGTTTGGGAAGCGCAATTGGTTCGCGATGGCGCTGATAAAGTGGAATCTGGCCTCAGGGTGGAAGTCCTTGGCCAGCCTTTCAATGAGCTTGGTAGCTGGGCTCTCTGCATCAAAGATTGGCACTGTGGCTGATCCTGTGCCAAGAGTCGATATGCCGATATACAATGTGATCGCATGTATCAGCGCTGGATTGGCTGTCGTTGGGACAAGCTCAAAGCCTGCAGGCTTGGGCTCTGCGTAGTACACCGCGCAGGTGACCTTGTCGACGTCCTGGTCCTTCAGCTCAGAGCCTCTCAGCAGATTGTCAATGGCATCCTTAATGCCTACGTCCGAAAGCATCTGCTCGATATCGCCACGGATGACGGGTGCTTGAAGATCGTGCTCGAGGCGGTCTGCCTTTAATCCTGCAGTGAATGGATCTGGCATCTCGAGAATGGTAGATGGATAGGCACTGACAATCAGGTTACGGAGCTGTGTGCAGTGCATTGGAATGCTGTTGCAGAACCTGAAGTGGTTCTCGACCAGGAACTCGGGGAAGTCATGGTGGATAACCAACAACACGCGTAGAACGCCGCGGTAGAACTGTTGGGTCATGATGGTTTCTCCAGTGGGCTTTATCAGCTTTCCAGTAAAGATCAAGAGTGTATCCACAAGCTGAGCGTAGATGTCCCAACGCTTGTCATCTTGACCCTCCTCCAGCATGGCAGGCACAAAGATACGATGTGCAACCAATGCGAGCCATGAAAAGGCAAAGCGTTGAATGTTGGAGGGCTGAACGATCAAAAGAGCTTTGGCGACTGCAAGGAAGATGTCTGCCTTTTGTTCTGCCAACGACTCTTCCTTCACTGCATCGTTCAGGTGGAAAAGAATAGTCGAAAACAGGCGGAAGAACACTTTCTGGTTGAAGGCATCTTCTCGGGTGGTGTGGTGGTTACAAAGGACGAGTACTACGACGACGAGCATCTGGTCTAAGTACCTCGCTTTGCTCTTCTTAGTAGCACCCTCTTGTTCACCTTGATAGACAAGAAGGTCGACGATGAGCCGCCCAAGGGCATCGACCTTAACTGTCGCAATGTCTTCGTTACCACTTCCATATGGGGATGAGTGTTCCTGCTCATATGCAATGACAGAGGCATCGATACAAGTGCGAAGAAATGCAACTGAAGATTCTTGAGTCTCCAGCACCTTCTGTTGGTGGAGCTGGTAGATGAAAGCACCAACGGTTTTCTTTGGGATGTTTTCCATCTGAAGATGCACCCACTCGTCAAAGACGTACTCGAGCTGATCTTTGTGGCTAGATGCTGGTGGTGTCAGTGACTGCTCATTGGGCGACGCTTGCAAGTTGGCAATGACGCGCTTTCCAAGCTCAAAGCTCGAGTCTTCTGCTAGCCAGGTAGTGAGAGCGTCGATGGACATGGCAAAGTCGGCACGGAAAGCACTCGGGTGCTCATTGAGCAAGAGCTCTTCCATCAGGCTTGACAGCATCTCCACTGCAGCAACACGCCGTTCTTGAATGGCCTTGGCAATTGTCATGTTCAAGCGATGCATATCCATGAGATTGACTTCCATAAGGGCCACCATGACTGTAGCCTTGAAAATACGGTCATCGTCGTGAAGAGTGGCCAGCCACATCAGCACTTGTCGTGATGTCTGGACGGACAGTTGGCACAGATGGCTCAATAGATGAGCCATGACTTCGACCTCCAGACGACTCAAGGAGTCAGAGAAGAGGTGGTTCGTGACTTGTCCAGCAATACGGAAGGCCCATGTTTCTTTGTTAGGGCCGGCGAACTCGATGCTTGAGATGAGCTGATCGAAGACTTGGTGGACACTGCTGCTACCAGGTTGGAGGTCTGTTATACGCTCCTCTGGTGCCTCTTTGATCACGCGGGTCAACTCGATGAGGAGGTCCTCTACGCCACGCTGGCCTCGCTCAAGACCAGGAGCGTCCATGTAGCCGTTAGGCTGTTGCTGAGTCAGCGCTGCATGAGGTGCTTGAAGACTCTGTAGCCTAGGTTGTTGCTGGGCCGGCTGTCGTGGCTCAGCTGGTGCAGCACCTGGAGTTGGAAGATTTGGCACCGCCGCAAATTGGTCTTGGAGAACATCTGGGAGTTGTCGACCGCCATCTTGAGAGGTGTTGTTAACGTGCGGCGCGCCTCGCGACTGCCTGCCAAAGTCTTCATAGATAGCCAACTGCTCCCTATTCAAACCGCCAGGCATTTGTCTGTATGGTTCCGGAATGTAGAATGCCCATGGACTGATGTTTGCATCCTTGAAGGGCTCATTTGGACGAGAGCTACGGAACATGCGACGTATACGGACGGCTTCTTCGATTTGCATATCGATTTCTGCGAGGGATGACATTTCAGCTGCCTGCTCAACAGTGTTGCAGACCAGGTCAAGGTTGTCGTTGACAAACATGATGATGTGTCCCTCTGGCAGTCCCTGATCGGGAAGATCCCTCGCTGTGAGGCGGATGTTATTCTGGATACTCATACGGAGGGGCTCTTTGCAGGTGACAAGAGCCAAAGAACCAGAAAGAGCTTTGACAACAGTGTGTGCTGCATTGCGAAGCTTCTCCTCATCGGGTTCCATGGCAAAGTCTTTGTTGATCAGCTGCGACGTTGAGATTGCGGCAATAGTAACGGAGCGTTCGACTACGGGAGCAATGATTTCCTGTATAGCCTGATTGACTGCAGTAAGGAAAATCTTTTTGAGCGTTGCTGGCGGAACTGCACTATTTCCAGAAGGTGGGTATTGAAGTTGGTTGGTGAAATCGGGCAGAGCGGCCGTCATTGCTGCTGAAGAGAAGCGTTCATTGGGTCCACGTGCGCCACGATTAAGGCTCACAATAGAAAGGTCGCCGAAGGCTTCCATGCCGTCTGTCACCATGGATCCAAGGAATTCTTCATCAACTGGCGGCCGTCCTCGGATGCTGTTAGTTGGCTCTATGTCCTTGTGGTCAAGCTCCAGACCCTTGCAGAGAACTTCAATCTCGAACTTCTGGTTGAGCTTCAGGTCAGCAAAGTGATATAGCTCCATGAGCACACCCAGCATCTCCATCAACCATGGATTGGGAGGTTTGAAAATTGTCGACTTCGCGGCTTGTACCAATACCTTGCAGGTGAACGGAATCACCAACAGGAGGCGGTCTGAATCGTAACCTTCGTGCAACAGGTCCTTGAAAGAAATGTTGCGGAATTTGATTGGCTGGTCCCGGGCTATGGTTAGGGATCCAAGCCACGAACCCAGGTTTTTCAGGTGGCCACGTTCGGTAGATCCCAAGGTAGAGTCCGTGTTCAGCATGCGAACAACACTGGCATATGTCTCTCGAAGAACCTCGGCCCAGAGCATCTTGTCATTAAACAGGTCAAGCATGTCGAGATACAGTTGTTGGAAGTTGGGCTGCATCTTTGCACGCTCCTCAACGAGGTAGTTGGCGAACCACTGATGATGTCTCTCCTCAACAGCTTCAGTCAGGTCGTTGATCTTGTCGCGCAGGTTGCGCTCGGACACGTTGTTCAGTACAAACAAGACTTTGTCCTGGACGTCTTCATCTGGGTCCTCGTATAATTCTGGGCGCAGTGGCGGGTCCACATACAGACAGCTGAACTTGGGCACGGCTGGCTCTTGGCGGAGATTCTCGTCGACGCCGTTACCGTTGGTCATGCCCATACCGTTATGGCCTTCGCCGTTGACTTCACCGACTTGCTGACCTACTACTTCTTCAGCTTTAGCATAAATTTCCGTGCCTTGGAGTCCAGGAACGATAAGAAGTTGGTCGCAGTAGTTGGGCCATTCAGAGAGTCGATTCGAGAAGTGAATCAGAGCCTGAAGACCGAATTTATACATACTGTCTTCAGGGCGGAACTCTTGC